TCTACCAGCGAAGGTAGGACACTCAATGTTAACATACACTTTTACACAGAACATGTAAATACCATGGGACTCTGGTACCTGATAGTGTTTTCAGTCCCTCCACTTGTGTTGTTTTCTATTCACCGTCCACCTGAATGTCTGGATTTGTCTGGTTTAAAGTTGCTGAAATACCAACAACTGATTCTGATACAGTCCTACTTTTATCTCATATCTCCACCAGGCGTTACGCCCCCAAGGCCAGAAGGCGAGAGTCTGGGACCCACAGCAAGAAACTAAAGACTCAATGAGGAGAAGGCAAATTCTCCTCCTTCCTTTTTTCGGAAAGTGAATGCACAAACACACTAAAAGTCATCTTTGAAACAACACTGACGATGTGAAAGGGAGACTCAGGCAGGACACTCGGCCATGTGTGCCGCACAGCAGCTTCCAAATGATCCAAGATGAGCTGTTCTGCTTCTGGCTCTTCACTGCTCTACACTCCTGATGCTGCTGCTTTTTGTTTGGCATCAATGAATCTTCCCCTTTACTGCTACAGTGATTGAGCTCATCCATGTACAGACACTTTCGGCTGCACGTCACGCCGGCTACCTTTTAAGAAGAATATCGACAGCATCATATCAGCCACGTCGTAATGTGCATTTGCTTGATTCTGCTCGCAAACATAAGGGGGGGGGGGTGATGTATAAAGATATGGCTCATAAGCTTGAACCCTTTAAAATGTACTTTCAGAAAAAACATTTTAAGGATTTTTTGTACAGATTTATACACATACAGTATATTCTGTACTGTATGCTTGTTCCAGCATTTCTCTGAAGCTGGAACGCTCCCTAATAAAGGCATAAAATGCCCAATAAACAAGAAAAATAAGCATTTCAGTGAAGCTATATGAAACTTTATGTAACTAAAATATTACCAGAGACAACATCATTTTTACAGTTGCACCATTAGATTCACTGAAAAATAGTCTGGGAATTTAACATAATGTCCCGTGGTCTGAACATTGCATGGCTTTGCAACACAAGTGTGTGATGACAGAAACACAGGTGGGTCCTGCAGGGTTGTAGATAAGCAAGATGGCTGTGACGGGCGATGTAAACAAAGGGAAAGAGCACCCAGATTCAAGCCCTGGTCTACAGGGTACCAAAACATGCAACTTTACCTCAACGCCAAAGAGCCAGGCTCGTCAGTATGACAGTAAGAGTCATACTCAACTCTAGTGATGGTACTTACACTGTTCATCCATCTCTGGGGTCCCTCACACACAGGGGTTCACCTCATATATTTCCCACACTGGGCACGTCTCCGATGGCCTCACGGCAAGCCGCCCCACTTCTGACACCATGGGCCTTTCCGAAACAAGACCTTCACCACTTCCACTCCGTCACAGAGTGTACTCTGGTTCAACTTTCGGATGAACTTTCCTCTCCCTAGCGGAAATTGGATCTGACATTCACTCTCTACAATCACTACAATTTGAGAATTGATGTTGAGGAAAAGTGTTTTGCAACAACGAAACTGAAACCATTTGTCATTTATTTTATGATTGTTTATGTACCAATTTGTTTTGGTTAGATTTAGAATATTGCTTTTAGATGTTGACTGGTTCAGCTATAAATTTATGAAAAATACCTATTTATACATATATTATTTTGTGACAAGATTGGTTGTAAAACACCATATCGAACCTCTTTATATTATATGGAAAATATTACATGAACAAATGCAAATGGTCTAAAAAGAAACCACAAATACAATTTCAAAATAAAAATCAAACAATATATTCAAATGGTAAATTAAAACAGTTAAAATGTGTAAAGATGTAACTATGTTTCTTAAATGCTTTTGTTGCTTGTTAGGTGATCCCCCTACGTATCTAGTTGTGTCGTGTTCTATTATTCTTTCTGTGCATACTCAAATCTTCCTGAAGGGGAGGGCAGTGTGATGGAGTACCATCACTACTGTTGACTATGCGTTCTTCAGTGTTGCGGTCAAGTTGCATGTTTGGTACCCTGTAGACCCAGGTTTGAATCTGGGTGGGTAACTCTCTCCTTCGTTACATAGCACCAGACAGCAATGAGAAGTTGTTGCTCTTGATCCACCTGTTGTGTAGATTTAATGTTAGTCTTGTATATCTAAAATGTCAGTAGATAGTATTTTTTGTCATCCTTAATGTTCACCCTCATGTTTTACATACTGAGCTATCTCCACTGTCAATGTACTGTACTCCACTGCTAATTACTGTGTAATTATTTGACTGACTTCCAATGTTAACATTTAAATAGACAGTACTATTTTGCCAGCAAGTGGTCAGCTTACTGCAAATATCCTGATGGCCTGTGTCTATGATCTATCCCTGCAATGCATTTTGACTTACAGCATACAGTATAGCTGTTCATTTGAAGTATCAGTCTGTTCCCTTTCACTCTGCACACACAAATGCATCAGTTAGTATGAAAAACATTTATCTACGGAAGGCATAAACATGAAACTGTGAATGAACTTTCCAAATCTTATCAAGCCGTTTATTGTGCTTGTATTACATTGACCTCTGCACTAATTTCTGCTTCTTTGCTGAGTGAACTGCTTGAGCTAGAGAATAATTTACAAACTTAAAATGTTTAATTTTAAATTATTTAATTTTTTATTGTTTTGGCAATGCACCCTGCTTGTTGCATTTTTTAATGATATGGAATAGAAATAAAATTGTAACTGGCTTTAAGGTTTATGCAAATGGGATTTAAGGATTTATATATGTGCCAGTGTGTCTATCAGCATGTGCAATCGAGAGACAAATCATCACAGACACAACAAACTGGTAATTATGGCTTGACTGGTTTCTGTCCTGGAAGTTTCATACTTTGCTCACATGCTGTGTGTTTGTGTGTGTGTATGTTTTGTTGTTTTAGCCTTCTACTTAAGGACTCAATATCCTCACTGTGTGATATAAAGGTTCGGGTTTGGTGTCAGGAAATAAATGTCCATTGACAGAAGATCCAGTGGCAAAGAACTTACATTGTACCAAGCCATTTAATTCACTGGGAATGGTGTTTCCCTGATATGACTCAAATCTGTAGCTTTTCTCAATTAATCCTGCAGGCAAACTCTTCAGTTGCATTTTTAAATGGATTTTTTAAGCATTAGGCTACGTGCCAATATCACATTGTCATAATATATTACAAGTAGCCCTAAATAAAATATGTGCTAGTAACCACATTTAATTATTGGTCTCCAAACAGGTGGATTTTGGGCCCTTAGGCAAACCCAGGCACTTTTATGCTTATAAAGCACCACATGACCCAGCCACCAATAGTATGCAAAAAACATCTGTACCAGTATGTGTTCAGTATCAAACAGGTCAAACTAAATTTTAGTAAGTAGAGGAAATAAAATGATGACTATAATTAAATAAAACTGAGTGTATCTCATCAGTAAGTTATCCCTGCTGCAAAATGTTGCCTAACCCAAGCAATTCACACAGGAGAGAGAGAGAGGATCATTTACATTTACTCATTTAGCTGACGCTTTTATTCAAAGTGACTTACAATTGCTATATATGTCAGAGGTTGCACACCTCTGGAGCAACTAGGGGTTAAGTGCCTTGCTGTGGACATATGGGTGCGGGGGATGCGTCACAGTGGGAATCAAACCTAGGTCTCTTATCCACTGCTCCACTTGAACAGGATTAGTCATCTATAAGCTTGTCTGATGACCTTAGATTGAATGCACCTTTTAGTCAGCAGCCATTTACCACATGACCGGTATGTATTTCTTCTGCTGTTCTCAGGTTTCTTGCAAAATACATTTAGATCTCAATGAGACTACCTGATTAAACAGGGCTTTAACAGATTTTGGCCTCCCTATTCAGCACTGCCACCATGTGGACACACAAAGAGGTTGTTAAACAGTGGAAGCAAATCCTCCAAGGGCAATGTAGTTTGCCATTGAGAGCCTGAACAGATTATTGATATCTGTAACACAGGTTACAGTCAGAGATACATAACACCTGGAAATCTGTCTGTCTGTATTTTAGCTGTCTGTTCAGTGGTTGCTCCTCATCTAAACTTAGAGGGCTGTGACTAGGTGCGCCCTGCATGCGTAATAACATCTGCTGATCCTTCAGATTGGTAGATTTTGTTTTGTACCCATAAAACCTTTATCCCATAGAAATGTGCTCTGCTATATGTGATATTTTTGTGTATTTCTAGATTTAGTTTTTAGCATTTTTTCCCCAGTAAAATATTTATAAAAAGGAAGGAACGCATGTGACACACAATATCTATATTCACGCATGAATAGAACAACATTATAAATGATTGTTGCCTATAGAAGAATAACTTATTTTATATGCCAGATACTGATGACTGCAAAATATTGCTTAGCTGATTATAAAATCACTAATAATAGTTCCAACAGGAGTCTGGAGATTTTATTTATTAATTTCATTGTTAACCTGCTTTGATTTTGTTTGGGTCTGTTTTAATAGTAATAATTGGACCCTAAAGCCAGCGATTAAAAAAATCCCATCCCAGCTCATTTCCCCTGTTTTCACCCTACAACCTGTAATGGATTTAAACTGAGACATGCGATTACCCCAAACTCTATAAAAAACAAGACATGCCTAGGATAAAAGTTCAAAACACAGGATACAACCTGCAAGTAGGATTTGAGCAGAACAAGATATCATATATTGTTGGTTGCCACTGAGAGCCTGAACTAAACGGATTTTTAGGCTGTGATTCATTTGAATTGTATTATTCAGCTTTTATTCCATATGCTCTCCACTGCGCTACTTTGGAGTTATGGGGACACATTGGTATGTTTTGCATTTGAGAAGGACAGTTGTGTTGGACACCGAAATATTGTGTATATTTTATTAAATCTAATTATTTTGTATAGGCCTAGGCATTTCGGATTTTCATTAGCTCCTTTCTCTCTCTCTCTTCCGGGTTTTCTGCAACCACGGTGCATCCTGAATGTATGATGGTTTTACACTCCAAACGTGACGTCCTGAATTTATTGCTCTCTTTTATATCAGATGTGACAAAGGAACGCTGAGATTCAAAATGTGACATCACTTCCCCACATAACTTAAACACAGAATGTCAAAAAAAAGCTTCTTGTGAATGAGTTCATTAAGACAGCTGAATAGATATTGCACTTGATTTCAGTGGATATATTTAACCCTCAGATATGGGATCAGCAATAGCTAAACACCTAGAGGAAGAGAACCAGCGAAATAGAGATTTTCAGATAAGAAAAAATGACTATGTTTGACACTCATGTGGCTACATGATAGAGAAGCTGGGAGAGGGACGTTTTGGGAAAGCGGCCCAGTGCCGAAAACTGCACCTGGACGAGGAGAAGGTGGTCATTAAGACCAACATATTCCGGTATGGTAGACATGAGCTGGCCATGCTTAAAAAACTCGATGAGCTTGACCAAGACAAGACCAACCTGATCAGGTTAAACAGGCATTTTAAACATAGAGGTCACATTTGTCTGGAATTTCAACTGCTGGTTCAAGTCTGTCCGACTTCATGAAGCTGAGGCAATTCAGGCCATTGTGTTTGTTTGAGATCAGAGAAATCACACAGCAGCTGCTAGTGGCTCTGAATGTGCTCAAGAGCATTGGTCTGGCACATTCAGACATCAAGCCAGACAATTTAATGCTTGTAAATCATCAGCTGATGCCCTTCAAGGTGAAACTGATTGATTTTAGTTCAGCCACTCGTTTCCAGATTGCAGCGTGGCACCAACTGTCTGGTCATTGGTTACAGGGCCCCACAGGCCATCTTGGGCCTCCCAATGAACGATATGTGGGGGGGCTTGGTTTCACTTTCATGCACCTGGGACAGCACCTGTATCCAACAGAATCTGAATTTGAGGTCATGAGAGCCATCGTGCAGATGCAGGTTCAGCCTGATGATCACCTTCTGAAGCGTGGAAAAATGAAAAAAATATTTCACCTTTGAAAGTCGTCGTATAGTCTGAAGACATGAGATGAACACGACACAACAGCCGCAACACCCATTGCTCTACGGGTATTTTCAACCTCTTTACCAGTCTCAATGACATGGCGAAGACCCACCCAGAAGTGGAGAATTGTGTTGATCATAACACACAAGCCTTTTTAAGCCTCATCAAACAGATGCTGCAAGTGGATCCTGAAGAAAGAATCACCCCAGAGATACTTTAGGGCACCGTTTTGTCACAATGAAGCACTTTCGCAGTGGCACTAACAACCCTATTGTGACATCCGCCTGTTTGGCCATGAAAGACTGGAGCAGCCATCAGATGACTTCAAACCCACTGTAACATCCAGCGAAGTGACGACTTCGCGAATGGAATGGATCGTCCATTACTAGTTTTCAGCTGATGAAGAAACCACTTCTGGCACCGATAATCAACCCCTAACCACAGCTGCCTTACATGACTCCAACACTGCTGGGACAGATGACAGACCACCTGCCACAAATCTGGCAGCTTCACCTGCCTCTAGAAACACACACTTCGTTGAAGTCAAATGCTGGAAGAAGTGGCTCAAGAGTTTCCAGCAGTTAAGCTGCTGCACAGATGTTTCTGAATAAAGACAGTGGTTACCGCTGTTACTGCATAGAAGGCTCTTGTTTCAAACTTGATTTTTTTGTGTAGAGTTTACATTTTCTCCCTGTGTCTATGTGGGTTTACTCTGGGGTTACGGGTTTCTTCCCACGGTCCAAAGCAGTTTACATTAAATGACAGATTTAAAATTAAAAACACAGGACAGATAGACAGTTTAGCTGCAACACAGCACGAAGTCCGGGGGTTTGGACTCTGTTTGGATTTAGTTTTGTTTAATAGATTATAACCTTTGTTATAACTATCTGCCTGCATGCTAGAGTTTCTGTTAAAATAAGGGTTTCACTCTCATTGAATACAGATTTTTCAGCACTATTCTAGCACTTACATATCCTTTAAAATTCAGGAGTCCCATCCTTAGCTCTAAAATTCATACTGTACTGTGCTTGATTATTCAAATTCTAATTAAACTAGAACCCACTTTAGATGGTCTAAATGTATTTTAATATATATAGCAGTATGCCGTGCCTATATACACCTTTACATTTGTCAATGCGCTGAATTTTGTGGGAAGGCTGGTTCCAGTCGTCTCCCTCTTAAATCCTACACCTGCTAACACAATCATTGGACAACTAAAAACACTTAAAATAATTAACCTCAAATCATTTATATACCAGACACAACAGTAGTACTTTAAACCAGGAAAACAAAATTCTGACATTGTTATGTTTTTCAAATCTGTGCAACTCTTTTGAAAACAATAATAATTTAGCTCACAGATGAAAGTACTTGGCAGGAGGAGTAACACCTGGCAGGATTTTAATGAAGTGTCATTTTGTGTTCTGTATGTTTTTAAAACCAAATTAAAATGTATATGGACCCCAGCAGGCAGCCCCCACACAAACATTAAACAAACAAAAAAAAAAACTCTGTAACTCCAGATACCAGAGATTTAAATTGATGTATCTTCATCGTGGATAAGAATGTGGACGGCCTGATTTCCATTTCGTCATGATTTTATTTCATTGTTTTTTTCCTCTCCTATTTGACAAGATTTTGGGCTGATTAAGCCCAGAAGACAAAATAAAAACCAGTGTTTACTATTACGAGTTCTGTACAATTCACCAGTGATACACACCAGTATAGCTTACAATATACCAACATGAGCAGATTTACGCAACAACAAGGAGATAAAATAGACTGTGGGGTTTTTTGTGTTTGTTTTTTTTTTTTTTTACATTTTTATCCCTATAAAACCCAGAAGTGTGAAATTGTTGTTGCTGGCTAAACATGGAAATCCCATCTGGGTGAAATAGGGTTAAAAAAGTTAATTTTTTTGGTGCTGTGCAAATATGCTCTTCTCCATACCAGTATATCATGCTATACCAGTACAGTCACCAGTATACAGTATTTCATATAGCAGTATGTCATACTCCATGTGGGGTCAGTATTAACAAAGACACGCGTGATCTGCTGTATTTTCAGTTCAGTGTTTTGTGTCTGCAAGACAAGTACCAGTCATGTGGCTCCACATTTCATGTGTGTTTGTTTCCCCGTTGTTAGTAGGGACCTAATTAAAGAGTTACACCTGACAGGAACTGGGACTCAAAGCACAAAGATTCCAGTTTTGAGGTTCGTTTGTATGTCCAGTAAAAACACTGGTGGGTGAGGGGACAATTACAGGTGTGACACCAGTCTCATATGAGGAACAACTGAATAATATTGGGACTGTAAATGAGGAAAAAACATGGAGACGCTGTCCCCACAGAAATAGGTTATAAATCAAGCTCAGTGACCAGTCTGAGACATGACGTCCTCCTTGTCCTCCTTGACATATAGGAAGTATCCAGTCACTCAGACTGGATCCTCAAAATTCACTTTGTTTTTTTTCCTTTTTCCATTTTTGCTCATCAGAGTCAATGCTGGGATAGAATATCAGTTTAGAGGAAGAAGACTGTGAAAACAACACAAAAAAACATGGAGCCAGCCGATAAAAAAAGAGTAAACTAAACTGAGTGCGAGGAGGGAGTTTCCTGTCTGCGCCGTTTACCCAAACAGATTTGGATTCTTCACATTTGGAGTCTTTAAAACCTGCACAGAGACGAGCTGAGGAAGACATCAGGAAGGAGAGGAACAGTTAGGACAAAAGCAAAGAAAAGTGAGTGAAACACAGATGAAAGAGTAGGATAGTGTGTTCTTTGTTTAGACAGTAGACAGACGCTAGACTGTACTCAAGTTCTAATATCTTTTTCCCGTCTCTCCCTCCGTCTCCTCCTCTGCAATTTCTGTGTCTATAAATAAAACCTGGTGAGACGGAGGGAAGCCGGAAATGGATGGAAGAGAGAAACGGGAGGAGCAATTGAAGGTAGGAGGCTGTTTCTCCAAACCAAACTGAGACTGTGAATATCTTTGTCGAAGCATCCACTGAAAGCATTGCAACTGGAAACATCTGGTTTGATCTGCCCATTCAAACAAAGCCATGGTTACGTGGAGGTATTTCAGCTGAGGAGAAAGTTCACATCCAGGGGTCAAAACACATGAAATCAACAAATGCACTGACAAGTCCATTCCCACAGGGGGCAATTCATGCAGATATATCGCAGATCAAATGCAGTCCCATCAGGTTCTAAAGGCTTTGCTTGAGAGTTTTATTCCACTAAGAATAATCCACCAGATATTAGCGGTTCCAGACCAAATTGCGCCCATGACAGTGTTTGTCAGGTTTTTAAACCTGGGACCCCAGGAATCAGGCTCATCTCAGGTCCAGACCCCCAGGCGCACACAGTCACCCCTCTTCCTCCTCACTTTTCCTCCTCTCATCATTACTTGAAGCTGCCAAGTCCCTGATTCAGGAAGTGTTTCTGCTCTGTTCTTGTGTTAAGAAAGTCACAGTGGTGGAGAGTTTAATCCCAGATGATCTGATGATCTGACGACCTCAGCTTACACAGGGTCCAACATCTATTGATTCTTCACGGACTGTCAAATTATCAGAGCCATTGTTGATGTAAAGCAGTCAGCTCCAGGAGCTCTCCCATATCGTGATTGACGTCATTAATCCAGTAGTCTTTAGATCCCCGCTGCTCGGCTGACACGGGGCTAGTGTGGGCGGGAGTGGGCCATCATCTTGAGCCGTGACTGGTCGATGACATCCAGCAAGTTCTTGGCGTCAACTGCAAGAGCGTGAGCCGCTGTCAACATCTGCTTCTTATAATCCTGCTGGAGACTGGGACAGAGCAAAAACACAACACACATACATTACACAGATTGGTACTATTGAGTGAGATAAATAGTACAATATTAAAGCAACTATTCATACAATTTGTAAAAAAATGTTGGTTACAGTAACATTTTTCAGACACGGACTAAATTTCTTAGTCTTTAACCGAATGTATTAAGTGTCCTTAAATGTAAGAATGACTGACCACTAAATACAAGAAACTGTAATAAAATTGAGTGAAGAAGGCAGATGCCTCTTACATGGAAATTTCACAATGTCTTCCAACTTAAAGGAACTGAAATTAGATTCTTTATACATCGTAAAGTTAATATTTGAACCTACCTGGTCATCACATATTGTTGGGCTAACTTCATCTTCCCAATCAGCTCTGCCAAGTCAGAGTTTAAAAGTTTTTGTGCCATCTCTATCTGTTGAAGAAAACCAGAGCATTAAATATCAATCTGATACAAACCAACTCTACTGCAAATGTGGGACCTCTGATTTCAAATCAACATTTAATAGTATTAAGAATATGTGAGTAAAAGTCCACACTATTCAAGAAAGACGAGTGTGTGAGTATATGTTTGTGGTCAGTGAGTGTGTGTTGTTACCTCTCTGTGTGTACTGGCTGGAAGCTGTGGTAGAGTCTCATCCACTGTGGCCAATAACGTCCTCAGTGCCAGACCCACATCCTGAAACACACAGACAAAGAACATGAGGCTCAGAATAGTTTCAAAATTATACAAAACAGAAAGAAAATTAGGAACTAAATTTACAGTGTTTAAAACATATACTTCATGCTGTATATACATGTAGGTTTATAAAAAAAAAAAAGTAAAAGATAAACAGTGTGGGGGAATAAAGTAAAATAAAATGTTCTAACTTTAGCGAGTATTAGCCAAAAGGATTCATTAGCAGACTTCAATTCAATTAAAATCAATATCTAGCGAGGTTAAAAGGTCAGCTCTGTAGAGTCTGGTTAAGACATGAATCAGAAATTATTCATCTGGAAGTAGGAGTATTAAAATTCAGCCCTCTGTAGAGCTGCTCATTTAATTAAACAGCATGTCAGAGTGGTCAAGGCAAGATAACATAAAACTGTATAAAACAGGCCAGCGCTAATCTTTGTAATGCTTTCAAGTTATAAGGTCAAGGCTTGCTGCTCAAGAGAGAAAAAGTGAACATTCAGTGAGCCTAGAAAAAACAACGATGAGCTTAAAAGCTAAAGAAGAGAGAGATAAATTTGTGCTCCGGTTACCTTGACCATGGGAACGTATTCCTCTGGAGGAGCTGGCTGAATCTTGCTAGACATCTCGATCACAGCTTTGACCAATCCTGTCACGTTCTCGTACACCTTATCATTGGAGCGGTCCAGATTGGCGGTGGGCGGCGGGCTTATCTCTTGGGGCTGTAGCTGAACCACAGGAGCACAAAAATGAGTGATGAGCTGACTGAATAAACAAAGACCCACGGGTCAGTGTGGGGGCTGGGGCAGTGAGAATGATACACAGAGAACAAGGTGAGACAATGTCGAGGAAAAATAGGAGCCTTCTAGAATCAAAACATTTAAATAATTGTTCATGGTTCAGTGTACAAATCCTGTATAATTATAGAGATGTACATGAATCATGCCTTTGCTTAACTAAGGGCCCTCTGCACATCTGCTGGTAGAAAGTGAAATCAATTCAATTTATAAAACACTGCTTTTTTAATAGTTAAATAGATTAATAGTTTGAGATGAAGAAGAGTGCTGTAACTTTACAAAGAACAATCATTCATACGGGTCAATTAGTAGATTTATGAGTGAAAGAATAAAAAAATGAATGGAAGTAGGTTATTTAGATATATGACATGCTTTGAATGAAAAAAACCTAAATGTTGTTACATGTAGTTCTCTATTCTGGCCACTAGATGGCAGTAACATATCTTTACAACCAGATATAAACAATCATGTCAACTGAATCAAAAAACTGATACATCAGAAGTGATTTATCATAAAAATATCTTGTTCATCCCACAGTATATTTCTCATCTTAATCTACTCTCTACTAATTTAGCTTTTTAGCACTACAAAATGTAATCCTATGTACGTAACAGCATGAGTTTCTACATAGTTTAATCTCCTCTCAATCACCATCTACACACACCTCCCTGCATTGGGAAATCACACCAGTCACAGACACCCCCTGCTGTCAAATCAGTCTGAACACTTTACAGCAGCAAATGTTTTGTCTAAAAATAAATAAAAAACCTGATTCTTCTGACTGCAGGCCGAATGTGTTTGATATGTAAAATGTCAAAAGGAAGTCATCATAAAGACGAGGAAAAACTACCCCCAAAGCCCTTAAAGAGCAACAGGGAAGCGACCCCTCTTCTATGTATCAAATGTGGTTTGCACTCCATCCTCTGATCATATTCAGACGATAAAGAAAAACACCCTGGTCCCCTAGTTTTTCATTATAGCCCAGAAAACTTCATGATTAGTGCACAATTAGTTCAAAATGCTGTCTAGTTTGATTAAAGAAAAATAATTCTGAAGGATTTCCAGTGTGACAGACTGTTATATATTGTTACAACAAGAAAGCAAACACAACTATGTAGAGTTGGATGTTAGTTTGGAGGGGAAAAGACAGTAGAAAACGGAAACCTGACTGGAATCTGAACAACAAAGGGATTAAAATTGTTTATATGTTTATAGGACGACACTTTGATTTGTTGGATAGAGAAATCAAAATACAGATGGAAAAAAAAAGAAGAAAAATGAATCAGAGTGTGATCAGATAGCAGACAAGACGCACAGTAAACACACACAGACAGTGTGCTGCTTACCCGCCAGGGCTAGGGGTCAACAGTAAGGCAGAGTAGAGGAGGAGGAAGAGGAGGGGAGGGAGAGAGGGAGCAGCCAAATGGAAAAGAAGATAAAAAAGGAAAATATTAACGCTCTAAGCATTAAAAAAAACATGCAACCTGTATATTTGGTGAATGTATCTTGCCAGTTCTTGTAGGTGTTGGTTGTTATATTTTAAGTTTTCTTTTTTATTAGTATGTCTCTATGGTTAAGTGTAAGTATTTTTGTTTTGGTTTCTGTGTGTTACTGTATGTGTGTGTGTACCTTGACTCCATCGTTGTAACTGTCTCCAGTATTTAGACATGCCAGACTGCCCACTTGGCTCTGGGCCCCGGGCCGAGGGGGTTTCTTTGGGGGTGCTGCGTGCTCTGCAGGACACAACATGTAAAAGTGAAAATGATTTCCACACACACACACACACACACACACACACACACACACACACACACACACACACACACACACACACCCACCCACACCACCCACCCACACCCACACAACCACACACACCCCTTTAATGTACATCAGCAACTGATGTGGCAGTTCACACAGTGTGTACATCAGAATAGCGTTCCAGCTAAAGGTTATTTTAACTGATTAATCATTTAGTCTGAGAAAAAAGGTGACCTTATTTTAGTCTTGTTTTGTCTGTCCAACAGCCAACAACCCAAATATATTTCATTCAAAATTATATGAAACACAGAAAAGTTGCAACATTTTTGCATGATTAAACATCTGAAACAATTAGTTTATTATCAAAACATATCGCTATTTTCTCTAGATTGACTCATCTACTGTTAGTTTTCAGCTCTGCATGAGAATAAACAATTCAATGATGAAAACAGAAGGTTTTGAGTACACTGTGCTGTCTGTATTGGGCTGCTTGCAGGGTGGGCATATTCACGCTCTGAACACAGAACATACTGAACTTGATATGACTTGACATGTAAACGGGTTGGCTTGACGGCTGCAGAGTTCACAATCAGATTGGTCATATTGTGGCAACAGACTGTACACGCTGCAAGCAGACACTGACACACACAGACTGAGACTCTATCTGCTGGTAGTGGGAGATACAGAATCTGTACAAAGAGGGAGGGTGAAGCACTAAACAGAGCTATGAAATGCTGCATGCGTGAGCTACATACTTTGGGAGCTTAAGAGACAGAAAGAGAGAAATAAAACAATAGTGGTTGTGTAGCTTTAATTAAAGGCCAGTCCATTACCTGTTTTGCCAACGGGTTGGTAAATGTGCTGGTTTCCTGTCTGCACAAACAAACAACAACAAAGCATTGGATTAGCAAGTGCTCTGTCACACACATAACCAGGAGCTTCGCAGGAAATTAGAACTTCACAGGCAGAAACCACCAGCTGGTTGGTAAAAAAACGTTGGGAATCCAACTGAGTTTCCCCGTCACACGACACAGCGTCTCGATTTGTTCTTATAAAACAAAGCGAGTTCACAGTCGTCTCCACTCGAGGAGCTGTTTCTGTTTTCTGTGGTGTGTGGTCTAGTATTGTGTTACTTATGTTAACAAAAATAATCTGTCTGGCTACAAGGGGATAAAGCATTTCCTTTGTTAGTGCTACCCTTGAAAACCAGGGGAAAAAAATCCTGCAGCATGTCTTTATGATTTGATGGTTGTGAGCATAAAGTGATGCCACAAAACTCTCTAGTGGTGCCAGGCATGTTAGATATTTACTTTGTTGTATTATTACTAGAATCTTTGTTGTTTTCTTGGTGTGAAAAACAGTACAGAGGGCCTAGAAAAGCCTCTGTGCCATCAGTGTTGTGGTCTGACAACCACAAACACCCAAAAATACTACAGCATTTCTCACTCACACACGCACACACGGCAGAGATTTTCCCACCACAAACCATAGCCATTCAAATGGGAGGAGGACAAGCAGAGAGCTGAATTACAGAGACAGAAATATCACAGTGAGTGTTACAGCAACTTTCTTCTGCTGGTGTCAAGAACACAACAGACAACAACTTACAACTCTATGTTCAGCTCTTGAGATTCCAAATTTGGCATGAAGTTACACAAACGTTCTGATCAATATCATCATTTAGTTTCAGGAGAAGAAATTTAATTACAGAGAGGCTTCAAGAAAAACACGACGACCACAGTTTCTAGTGAAAAAACAACAACATTGCAGTAGGGAAAAAGTGATGAAGTTACCTTTTAATAATGAATAATATCTTTGTTAATAATGTGTGAGGTTTCGACAACATAAAACCACAGTTATTGTTTGCTAAGTGAAAATGTGCATCTGTCTCTGTGCAAATCATTTCGGAGTTACATCACAGCACGCAAATTAAAAAATGATGGGGTTAGCTCTCATAAATCACAAATCTAAAAAGCCGAGAATGATGTCCTCTTTCACAAACACTAATATTGCAGCATGATTGTACATATAGGGCAGCAGCCAATGATAATTTTCATTATCAATTTATCTGCTGATTAATTTCTCGATTAAATAGTTAATGGTTTGGTCTCTTAAACAGCAGGAGATGTTTAAAATTCCTGTTACAATGTCCTAAAAACCCAAGGTGAAGCTTCAAATTGCTTGTTTTGTCCGAAATCCAAAGATATTCAGTTTAAATGGCCCATAACTGTCAATGACAACACAGCCACCTTATTCTCCTCTCATGGTGCTTTTGACACTCTAAAGTGTGTAATTACTGATGGACAGACTTGAGCAGAGCACAGAGAACACAGTGAGTTACTGTGGGCAATACTGGGACATAGAGATAAATAACGATGGCCGCTTGTGTTCTTGTAATAGCGTTTCATTAGTAACTGGTGATGTTGTGGGAATCCACTGACCCCTCATTGCTGACCCAACCCCCCCAACAGGTCACTTCCTGTCCATGGTTCAATCCCCTCAGCTCTAATCAAAACAAACACGCACTGCAGCCAATTGCTGTGAGCCCAACCAGAATGTGGACTTCCGTCAACATTCATCTTAATCGTCCTCTCTTACAAACACAAACAGGTCAAGAAAATAACTTCCCCTTTTCTTATGCGGTGGGAGTGACAAATGGTCATGATTTTGACTGTGGAAATTAGAAAGAGACTACTGTAAGTGAAGTAGAGTTCATTTGGGAGAAATGCATCCACAGATCAACTTTCTGCGTGCATGAATAACACCAACTAACAGTGAGACGAGAACGTAACTTACCGGTGGTTGGAGTCCACCTTCTTCTCTGTCCAGACTCCCTCTAGAGCTTCTAGAGTCTGGTTTCTAAACACACACAAATAAACATAAAAAATATATCTCCATACACAGCATTTAAGTTCAAGGCTGGTTTTAAGTTTAATTTTGCTGTTAATTAGACTGGGACTGTTAAGACGTTCTGTATTTATTTAGTTATGCAAATGGTTTGTTTTTCCAATGAACACTAAGTTCATTGCTTTTCTGTCGTTGACTTTACAAGCAGTATTGGATTTTCATTCCCGAGATGTTCTCTGTTATGACTTGCTGTCAGCTCTTTATCCCATGCTGTTGTTAGACTGGTGCATTATATGTGTATACATGGTTACTAAAACTAGCAGACTTAATGATTCATTAAAGATGTACTGATCTGGCTAAGGTGAAATTCAAGTTTAATCTTAAGTCTTACAATGATCATGTGAATGAAGAAATGAATGAGTGAGTGAAGCTCACAGTGAAAAAAACTTGCATCAAACATGAGTCTCCTTGCACGAGACTTCAAATAAAAACAGGACCACACTGCACAAAGCTGCAAGATACAAAAGCGCAGGTCCTCCTACACACAAACAAACTTTTCTCAGCTTAAGCACAACTTTTGCGATTGACATTTAGCCACCCCGAAACACCCACAAACAAAGCCAAAATAAAGCCACATACAGACACCTCTAAGAAAACTAACTATCGCATCCCTCACACCCATCCTTTCCTACCAGTTTTCCAAGACAGGACTTGAAGACCAGCATTGCCAATGAGTTCATCAAAGTTGTCTGATGAACCGTTTGTGTCCGAGCTCAGGTGTTGAGTCTGCGTCGCTATCTGGTTCTGATCTTTTTGTATCTCTCTCTATACCTCTGTCTGCTCCTGTGAATGTTTTCCTGTCTGTCTGCCTGCCTGTTTCCTTGTCTGAACCAGCAGTTTCATCAAGACAAGAATTCAGATTCAACTCCGGCTTCCTGCCTCCGGCTCACTTATATCGGACTCTGACGTACGGAGAGAGGGAGGGATAGGAGGGAGGAGGGATGGAGCACACTGCCAACGAGCCATCAGTGTGCGAGCATGTCTAACCGTCTTTCCCAAACCATTCTCCCCCCCCTCTCGTCCCTCACTGAAGTGTGTTATACAAACCAGCCAGCGTACAACACACACACACACACACACACACACACACACACACACACACACACACACCTTTTCAGGAATCTTGTGTGTTGTCAGCTAGTGGTTGTGGGTCAAAGACAGACTGTTGACTGGGCTGTCAGATTCTCTAAGACTATCATTAGCCTGGAATTCAAACAGTCCACACTTGCCTACAAACTCTCTCTCAAACACACACGGAACAAACCCAAAACAGCTCCTTCAATCTGTGTTCGCAGAAATATGCATCCTATATAAAATCATCTCCCGTCTCTCCACACTGTCTTTGTAGTCAGAGGGTCTCTCCATCAGAAGAAAGTAAGTTTCTGACAGTGACAGACACTGCATTCATGTGTGTGTGTGGAAGTTGTACTGCCATAGTAAGTCAGTCATAATGAATTAACTGTTCAATAACCAGTTAGTAGTCCACTGCAACAATTAGCAGGAGAGATGGCAATGGTAGCCTGAAATAAATTCCCTAACAGAAAGTACATTCATTATTTAAAAATGACCAAAAAAAACAGTCACAAAAGGGCATTTTTCTTCATGACAGTATGTATTCAGCATACTGTACACTATGTTAAAAAGTCAAGGGAGAAACGCTATTGCTATTCAGAGCTAAAATCAAGTGTATTGAAACTCCCAATTCAATTTAAGAGTTTTTTTTTTTTTTTACAGTTTAACCAAATGTAGTTGATCTCTGTGGTCGCTAATTACCGAGTTGCTATGGCTCCAGTAGGAATTGAATGCTTCAGCTTAGGAGAAATTTGAAGCTGGTAAAAGCAGAGAAAGCAACTAGCTAAGCTAACAAGATTTAGATACTGTGCATAAAAGTGATTGACTTTGATCAAATCCAGTCGATGAAATAAAATAACTAACCCTAAGGTGATTTTAAAAACTAACTAATATTCTCAACTTTGTGGTTATTAAATTCCAAAAATGTTGTTTGTAAGAGACCGTTTCATTCATCATTAAAGGTCACCATGACAGTTGTTAATATCTTGCTCTAGTACACCTCAACAGGCTCCAAATATCATATGTTTCCCCAAAAGTATTGGTATCAGTTTGCTTCCCAAATACTGCAGCTAAGGGGGAATATCAGCATTGCTGCTTTCGCAAAACCAAATTATTTGAAAATATATATATTTTTACTTGTCCTTCATGAGAATGTGATAAATGTCAGAGAGCCCATTAACACATTTACAAAAAACACAACAACATGCATCATAGAACAAATAAATCCACACAACTGACAAGTCAAAGATGGCAAATAAACAAGAAAACTTTGCATTACAGGTGACGATAACACACTGTACCATGCACATCACACAATAAAACTGACTCTGGGGTCTAAAAATGTCATTCCCAGAATACAGAAGCAAAACCGCACTGCTAACAGAGTACAATATGTCAAATGAAATAAGTGAAATAATAAGTTAAATCTACTCTTGTATCCTTACGTCCTATTAACTGTGAGTGTATTTTCCAATGTGTGCGCTGTGTGTGTTACCAGCAGCCTTTCCTCCTCCTCCAGCCACCTCTGGTCCTCCTCCATCTGCTGTTGTTGTATCATCAGCTGTTCCTCCATTAACAGGCATTGCTGGCCTATACACTGCTGCATGTCTACTGCCCTGTCCTACACACACACACACACACACACACACAAATACAAACATGCAGCAAAAGACAAACATAGCAACAGACATACACACCAACACAGATGAAGAGAAACAAGCACACATACACAGGACAGACACATACACCAGACTGATGAGAGGCTGAACTTAGATGATGGAAACAAACTAAAAATAATGGGTGTCAATGGGCCGTTGATTTGTACCATTTCAACATTTGGATATTTAAGTAAATTTGGGGACTGGACTCATTATGCAGGTGGTACTTTTTTGTTCACAATACTTCTTCTCAGAGTGATCAGTCTCTTCAGCATGCCAGGCAACAAATGCTTTAACATACTGGCAGCATATGTGTTTCAGTTGACAGTCCTGTCTTGACTTAACCAAGTGTGCATATGTGTGTGAGCGTATGTATGTTAAACTGGTCTCCTACCTCCATCGCAGAGCCCCATAGTGCCATGTCGTGTCCATGTGGCTGAGGAAGAAGCTGTGCGTGAGAGTGTGTGTGGACGTGGTGGCGGGGGTGTGTATGCGCATGATGTGTGTCCAGCATGGCGGCCTGTGGGGGGTACAGGGCGCTGGGCACCGAGGGGAGGGTGTGAGGGCCGGGGTACCCTGCCATCTGAGCCAGGCAGGGAGGAGAGAGAGAAAGACACATTGTTAGTCTTTTATCAGTTCTCTTTTGATTACTACCCTTTAAGGTTGGGCGATATGACGGTAAAAACCGTGCAATGGTAGAGATTTGAACAGTTTCCACCGTCGGAGCTATCCCTTAGTGTCTATATATTCGGTGCAGGCTCTGTAGCATGTCAGGACTGGATTCTCACGTGATCTCACAAATCCAGTGGCCTCATGACTTAGGCAGAAGAACTGCTTACCATGTTCTCACGTGAAGTGAGAGAAATAGTTTGTGGCAGTAATGCACCTCTAAGCTGGTTTGTCAGCTTGACACAGTGACGTGGAAAAGGAGAGTTGAATTGTAAATAGAGCAGGAGGAGTTGTTTTTGTTTATATGGAAGTTTCAAATAAAAGAAAAAAATCCAATGCATTGAAGCACGGTACGGTATGGATATTTTAAACAATTTCTTAATTATAATTTACACAACAATTACTATAAACATTACATAATATAAAATTACATATATCGTGATAGAAGATTTTGGCCATATCGCCTACCCCTAAGGGGATAAGGATAAGATTACATCTTTACCTAGCAGTCGCAAAAGAGGATTTAGTCTTGTGCAGTTTGTCTGCATACCTGGTAGTGTCCAGGATGTTGGGTATTGGGGTAAAAACCTTCACTCGAGCGAGGACTGGGATAGCCTGGTCTACTTGGCTACAGATAAAGAGAGAGAGAGGGAGAGGGAGAGGGGGGGGATAAAGAGAATAAAGGATAAAAACACAGTTACAATGTATATTCATCTTTTTCCCAAACTGAAAGTTAGAAGACGGGACACCGGTTCATTCAGACAATTCAACACACAAACCCCTAGGAGCTGTTTGTGTGGCTGGGTTAGCTGTCAGTCAAAACAGGGAACACCCACTGGGCTGCAAGTCCAGCAAGCTGTTAGTTAGTGGTTACAAACATCAACACCCATGGAGTACCGGTATGAACTGTTATAGTCACGGACTAATGACCAGTAGAATCTCTGGTTAGATTTGATGCGGATGTGTATAGTCAAGTGTTACGGCTGCACGTTCACCAAAGACCTCTCTTTAAACCACTGGCCTTTTTTTATTTGGGAAAAAAAAGCATACTGCAGCTGAAAAGGTTAAAAGAAGTGTGGTGCAAAATATTTTCAACCTGCATACAAAAGGGAGTTTCTTCTGAGACTGTCTGATCCAAACCTCCGAATGAACACTGCTGGCTAAAGAAACAGAGCAGTGACTCCGCTTCTCGTCTCTATTCTATTCTTCTCTTTTCATTAGGTGGGCACCAGTAGCTAAAAACAGAAGTTCTTGGTGAACCCACAGCCTTGTTCCTTCTGTTGGTTTCTGGTGATTTGTTATGATGAAGCTGTTGAAAGTGTATGTTTCCCATCTTAGAATGACTGGAGACATTTTTCTTCATGATTTAAACTTCTCTAACACAGAGCTCATTTCGAGCACAACAGTGGTGTAACCTCTACCTTCCACAGCCTCTCATAGTAGCTTTCTCTGGACCACATCTCCGACAGCAAGACAGACACAAAGACACACAGGAAGGGGATACAGAGAGCAATGAAAGACGGGGAGGGACGGAGAGAGGGAGACAAGGAAGGAAAAAAGTAAAAGAAGAAGGACAAAGAGAAGCAGACAAGACAAAGAAACTGAGGACAAGACAAACAGGAGCTTACGAACTCTCAACAGGCAGACAGAGAGGGAAACATACAGCGTGTTGTGAACAAAATGAAATCTTGTGAGAAAATTTTACATCTGCCTCAAAACAGATTCATAGTCCTGTGGTAGTCAATCCATGTAGAGGGAGGTTTCCCTGAGAATACCCAGTTTAAAGATAGAAAAATAAACAGAGAGACAACAGACAGAAAGATTGGAAGGTGAGGTTAATGTGACAGGATAGTCACAGAAATTGGTTATAATCCGGAAACATTTGGATGAATATTTAAGAACAAACGACCACATAAATAGATATAGATCATCAAATTTCAGAGCTACGGTGCCAGGAGTTTCAGTCTAAGCTGCACTTACAGATGTGCTAATGTCCGTCATCTACTGGCAAGGTAAACAAGCTGAAGCAATTTTAACACTTGTGCCACCTGCAGGCCATTAGCATTACAACGGTTTGTGCTTTTTTTTTTTTTAGAGCTCTGTTTGGGCTCACACTAGTCGGAGAATCTGCAATCTCTTAAAAATAAATGTGCAAATCCATGGCTACAATCTACATTCATCAGGTGTTTTGCATCTGATATGTACACATGTATGGCTACACGTTAAAAAATTCTCAAGCCAAAAAGGTATTGTATTAGAAACATGAATCTTGAAAAACCTTCCAAAAAAACTGTAACTATACAGCTCAACTATATTGTGTATCTGTCATGTTTCCATTACTGATTTCTCACTTGTGCCACAAGTATCTCTGATAGTAGTAGCATTTCTTATATTCAAACGGAACTACACATCTCATGTTTTAAATACTTTCCCAGCATTGAAAGAGGTCGGGTGATGATACAGCTCAGCAGGAGGACTGAATATTCACTCCAAAAACAGGGTCACCTACCAAAACATGCTCATGTGTGGTACTACTGGCCAGCACTCAACAGTTAGGTCAAGGTGACAGAGAGCCAGCTGTGTATAAACAGGCTTAAGTAGAGACAGACCTTTGAGCTAGCTCTTTATGTATTTATAGTAACTGTCTCAATCCCAGGCTTCATACCATCTCACAAGCTTTAGTAGTAAATGCAGTAAATCAGTAAGACAGAATTCAGTACAGAATACCAGAGCGTATACCACAGCATTATATTGAATTATACTATATGTTGCAGTCGAAGCTCTTTCCTCTTGGACACGGCTGAGACCCAGAGCTGGGAGTGGAAAAGTTGTTGCATTGCATGGCAGTATTAGTTGTGGACTTTGGGTTCCACCTAGTGTAAAAATATTTTAACATTCGTTTTAAGCTTATTCCACTTCATTGAATTCCAGTGAAATTTGAAAACTGGCTGCAAGATTTAGTTTTTTTTCCAATTGTGAATATTACCTTTTCTGGCTTATCTGTGATATTCTGTATTTAAGTTCCACATCTGTCAATGAATTTAGGATATATGACAGGCATCCTAAACAGGCTAAAAATAGGGTGCAATAATCAGAGGACACATCGACACAATGCCTGCTGCAAACACATATATCTGTACTACATTCAATCATGACAGAGGTCATTCAACAGCATGTACAACATAGATCAAGCATGCCAATGGCCGAGGCATAAACATGCTAATTTACAGGCACTGGTGTTGGTAAGCATTGTATTAAAAATCACTGCACTCAGTTATAATCAGACTCAAAGATTAGAGTTTAGTCCTACATAATATTAAACCATACATCAAGAAACGTTGCAGCGTTGTTTTCTGAGGCAGTAAGTTGAATGTCATTGCTGGAAATAAACATGAATGTCATGTGCCAGAATTACTTCTTTTTTGAAAATTAAATTTTTGGTGAAAATTAGAACCACATCCGTTAATGTGTGGATGACACTGGGCTTATTTAACTTTGACTGTCATGAGGTGGACATTCAGAAAGAAAAGGGGTGCGAGTGTGAGTAAAGTCAAGGTATTGAATTCAGTGTTTTCTTATTACCATGACCGGCCACATGCAAACAACATGAGAACAAAATAAAACTAAAGTCGAAAACTTAAATTTTTTTTGTGGTTTTAGTGTCATTAGTCCGAGTCACCACTTTTACTACCAATGTTCAAAAATCACGCAGGTACAAAAGAGGCAGAAATACATCCACCATCACTAGCCTCAATAGATCAAGATTTAATTTAGTTATTTTTTGTGCAAGAGGTCTGACTGACCTTATCAGGTACCTTTTAAACCTCCTAGGACATTTATCAAAGAGGCTACACTTCTGAACATTGCAAATTTTTTTGATAAAAACAGTGCAGTTTAAAAGAACACCACCTGCCTTCAAGGGTCTGGACAGGGCTCTTTCAGAACAGGGGATGGGAAAGGGCGTGAGTGTAGTTACAGGGAGACCTGGTGTTCGACTGGATGGATGGGGGTTAATGGAAAACAGAGTGCAAGTACACGGTACTGGGAAGTTTCTTTCTGAGTGCGGAAGACTGAGGGGGGCAGGAGAGACCAGCGGGGGCCCCCCACATGACTGCCCAGGAGGGAGTTGTTGCTGGGGGTCAGAGTCCGGTTGTAGTGGGGTACTGGGATTAGTGTGGCGGCCAGGGTGAAAGCTGGGCAACAGCAGGGTATCAAGATAAGAATTTGGCTTGGGCTGGATGTTTTGGAGGGTGTGGGGACAATCATTTGATACACAGCGGGGCAGAGAGTTAAGTTTAGGACTGGATGGGGAAAGAAGAGGGGAGAAGTGCCTGGGATGGGAGTGTGAGTTGTATGACTTTGGCTGGGATGAACAGAGCAGGGGATTAAGGGGATTTGTCTTTTGGGAGCAGCTGCCATTGGACAGACTATCTGAAGTGGTGTCAGGCAAAGAACAGAAGTAAGCATGAGATTGTAGCAACAAGCTGGAATGAGCTCTTGATTCAGGATTCAATTTGGTGTTGTGCTCAGAGACTGAGTGACTGTGGTAAGTGGTGTTTTGAAGAGGTGACTGGGACGGAGGGTCAGGAGAGGAGGAAAAGTGATGGGGAAATGACGAGTAGAATGGAGGAGTGGGAAGTGGGAGGAGTGGGTGGTGAGAAGAGGTGCAAGGAGATGAAGGATGAGGGTTTCCAAGGCAGAGGGAAAGCTGTGAGGCAAAGCGCTGGTTTGGATGACAATAGTGGTGGGGAGAAGGAGCAGACAGATAATCCAGACTGAAGGTGGGCTGCAGGGAGGGACGACAGCTGGGCTGCAAACAGAAAGACAAAGGTAGAGGAGGGACAAATGGAAATAAAAAAAATATCGTACAGAGACAGAGACATGTAGGGACAGGTGAGACAGATAGGGATGAACCGAAGCACAGGCAGAAATATGCAAGACTGAAACCAAAGCCATACAGGACCTGAAGGAAATAAGATGTTTTTAAAACCTCACCGAAATAATTTTAATTCCTTTTGTTGTTAAGTGAAATTAAACAAATGCAGCAGCCACTAAATCCTGCAACAAAATTTAGATTGGGGAAAAGACAACTTTCACTAAAGTGTTATTTCAATCTTATGAACTACAGTTCAAGACATAAGGCTGTAGCTGAAACCAAAAGAAGCAGTTAACAGATGCTACACAGCAGGGGCATGGGGGCAGCCAGCAGCTGGGACAACAAGCTGCGAGGTGGGAGAGTACAAGTGGAGGTGGGTGTAGGGGGTTAATTATTCAGCAATTATTCAGTGTGGGGAGGAGGAGGAGGAACAAAATCGTTCTAATCATACATCTTGTTCCAGTTCTTGATAATTTTCAATAGCTTAATTAGCTGTGGTCAAGTGCTTTTATGTGCACATTACACAAACCCAGCAAGTGTCCTTTGCTATAATCTATGAGACTGTAATATCAACTTTAACCCACCCACACAGGATGATTTAGAGTATGTAAAAACAAGCTGCTTTTCAGACACAAAAAATAATTTATTACATATTGCGCTAAAGCTGACAGAAAGTGTGAAAATGTAACAAAGGTCACAGGGTCAGTGGTCTTTCTTGCCACTGTTTGTACAGTTTTGCCTCTGAAGAGCCTCTTCTTTTTGTGTGAGGGGATTTTTTTCCTGTAATATGGGACTTAAGTAAACACACCTGACACTTGAAAAGCCTGGATTCAAGAGCTCAAACCCATTCACCTTGATTATCACAGTGAGAAAACCCCACTTGACAACTGACTTCAGCAGCAGTTTTTATTAAGCATGTCACCAAGGTCCTGCAGAAACCTTGTTTGTTCAAACTGTCAAACTTGTACAAATACAGGAGACATTAAATAAAATGAGTTACGGGATGAATTATTTCAATGCCTTAATATTTAATGCTGGAATCATGTGTGATGCAACAACAGAAAATATGACACTAAGCATAGAGGCTGTAATCCCTAACTAAAGAGTGTATGGGACTTGCAGTGATAAGAGTGTCTCACTGCAAACAGCACAAACAGATACCCGTTATTGTTACACCTGTTGCACTCAGACAAACACACAAAAACAGACAGAGACACATATAGTGTAGTAATACCTTTGGTGGTGCGTCGTCAGACCCTCCGGAGTCCCAAGAAACTGTGACCTGTCTCCTCATCTCCATCCTGCTCCTCTCCTTCTGCTGGAGCTTCTCCTCCTCTAATATAGTGCTGTAAACAAGGGGAGAAAACAAGATGATGTAACACAAAAGGGTACTGGTGTTTTTATTTGTCTCTGCTGGACTTTTAATCCAGCACTGGAAAGTGGCAAAAAGGAATGTGACAGGTGATATTAGATTAGATAGATATTGCAGCTTTGGCAATATTGTTGCTATACATTCTTGCCAATAAAGCTAATTTGAATTTGAAATTACAAATTAAAGTATGAGATTAAACACTTAACACTTAAGTTATTATCAAATACACTATTGTGATACAGCAATTCCTGGTATGTTGTTAGGCCAGGTATAAAGTGAATGAAAGCTGAAGTCAACCAGCCAGATGAGAAACTTCCTTGTCCTTATCCTGATTTTAGAACAGGTGCTAAATGTCTGCTTAACATCTAAGCACATAGTATAATGCTACTCCCAAGCCCAACAACCACATATCCCACTTGCTATAGAGAATATGAGATACTAGGTTTTGCATTTAGTACTTTAAAATTTGAGCTCCTAATATATACATGTAGGTAAACTCATGCAAACACGTGTACCTACGCATACGTACACTCAGCAACGCTTTCCTCAACAGAGAAATCATTCGTCAGCTTAAGTGTTTTTCTACCTCCTGCTGGAAATATGATAACTCATTGGCAAACCCATAAAACACACACAAACACACATCAGAGCTGTAACACCCACACACTCAGTGCAATGCATACAGAGCATTCCTCATAATGTCTGTACGGAGCATCAAAACACAAACTACTATAGTCATAAGAAAACTAATTCCATTTTGTTATGAAATTGCTCAGCCTCTTGCTACCATTACAAGACATCCCAGAATGCTCAAGTAACTCCCCATAATATTCAGAGAGTCAATACAGTAATACAATTTAAGCCAATGTCAACAACTTGAGCTTCAGATATTTTGGAAACCAACATTTGAATCTCCCTGCTTTGCATTAGTGCTGGTCAGCAGTTACAAAGCCACATCAAGTTCAGTTTCAATTTGATGTCTTAAGAGAGACTACATTTGGTCAAAAAGTTAATGTTTCAACTTTTATCCTTCATTGTAAATTCACACCAACTACTGAAGCCATCTCTTTGCTGTGTCAGCAATGCAATAAATCACTTGGAGGCTGAGCAATGTCCCACGCCCCAAACCCAAAATTTTTTTAGGTCTAATGCAGCCAAAAATACCACACTGAATTTACCCGCTAAAATTATCCTCACTGACCTGTTCCCTGGGAAACTGCTGCTAAACCAAACGCAGATTCCCAGAGGAAGGAGCTGCGGCTGAAGAGTTGATGGTTCCACAAAACTGCAAACTGAATGAACAATCCAACACACAGTCCCACACTATTTCTACCCTCCTTTCCTCAACAGGGGTAAGAGCTATTTCTAGTACACCATTGCCCTCCTGTGCTGTTGTCTCCTGCCGTGTGTGTGTGTCCTTGCACCTGTCGAGGTCAGTCTCCTGTCAGGTCCCATCCTTCTTTTTCATCATAACACTCATTCACACACATTTGTACAACAATATTAGTACTGAAATAACAGTTTTCTATTAAGCTGTAAAAACAGATCCAATTCACTGAACAAACACTGGTTTAAATGCCTAAAAAAAGATGTATCAAATTTCATCACTTCTGGAGGGATTCATTTGCATTACAGAAGGCCGTCGTTCAATATTTGTAATTATTAACAATATGATTTTTTTTTTTTTTTTACGTGTTCCTGAATTGCTCTGTAGAGAAACCATTGGCGGGTATTAGTAGTAGAGTGTGTGTTTTATGTTTATATCATTATAAACTGTATGGACAACACTGTAATCTAATGGTTGTAAGTACTACGAGTACACTCAGCCTCACAGTGATGATAAAAAAGTCAGAAATTTATTTTGTAATATATCAGTTTTGAAGTTCTGTTTATTCTTCCAGTTTAGCTACACATTTTTAAATAACGTTTTTTAGCTCACTTTAGTTTCTTTGTCTTGATTAGACCAGTTACACAGATCCTATAAATGTGTTTCTCTCCTTTTTTAAATAATGTAATCCTTAAAAACAGGTAGTCTCATTACAATCATTATATCTTTTCCAAGATAGGCCTGTGTAAAAAAATAAACACATACTGTTTCTCTTAAATGTTGCTGTCTACAGGAACACCTTTTGTTTTTATGCTGAACAACAGATCTGATGAGTTAAACAAAGGAATACAACATTTACAAGAACACAAGTAACAAGAAGAGCCTCTAACTGCTTGTAAATGCCTTTTCTACCAGGAGCAGTGTTTTAACAACTGCATTGTAACTTTGTGTCCTTAGCCTTTTTATTTAATATCAATTTAACAGTAACTGGAAAGTCATCTAAATGTAGTAAGTCGATCATTAAACCTGCCAACCTTGCCTCACAGTTCAACAGTAAATGACATCACGTATGAATAAGTGTGATGACGATTACATCAGCACCTGGCAACATCCACACCGACTGTCTCCTCCCCGACCTACACCACATGACCACCTGGAACAACAAGGCCGGTGTAGTTTATTTACTCAGGCTGGACTGACTGCACAATCTTGGACTTTTCAGCAACGCCCCGATTTACTCTCACGTACTTCTCACCTGAGAGCTGCCCGCTACTGATGGAAAGTGAGGAGCAGGATTTAGGTCCCTGGGTTTAAGTGCACTGAGATGAAAACCGGACACCTTGGGACTAATAATTTCTCTCACTTGTACGCTAAAGCTGTTCACTGTTTATGATAAACAGAACAATGTTGTTTTTAGTGTTTAGCGTTCATCAAAATCTCACCAGTAATGCCAGAATGACTGAAGCCGATTCCTTGTCCATCCTCTCTGATTTCATGAAGGGACAACAAAAAAAGTTTTGTCACTGCTGAAAGCAACTTGAATTTTGTCTCTTACCAAGTTTGACATGAAGAAAGATTATCTATTAGTTTGTTTTTTCAAAAGGATGCACAAAATATAATTTTCAATCCTCCACAATTGTGAAATAATGGACCAATAGTTGGCGCAAATGTATGCATGTCTTCAAAAATAAAAATATCTGCATCTAAAATATGTATAAAAGATGCAACTGAAAAACTGACACACAAACATTTCATGTTTACAACTAAAGATGGCAGCAAGCAGCTACCTTGCTGACGTGATCATGAGCAAGACATTAAATTCCTCCAAACTACAGATCTCAGGCATCCTTGTTAAAGGATAAAGGATTTCTTATTTGTGTAACCACGGCCACACTGTAACAAGGAAACACTGAGTGGCAAAACTTTAATTTTGGAAGATCCCCACTTTATTTGTCTAATTAAAATAGATGAAAGCTCATTTAAGCTTCAGCTGAACTTCAGAAAGCATTTTACCTATGCTTTAAGTAGGACATGCAAAGAAACAGATTTCTTCCACAGGATAAGTGGAGGACACGCAAATAAGCCACAATGAATCATATTTAAGAGGCACTGTACCATCCACTGAAAGCAGCACAACATTTAGAAAACCTGAAGAGACAATACTTTACCTTAAGAACAGGCCAATCCAATAGCACTGGAGGATATCCAGTTAAGCCCTTCTAAAGAAAAATGTAGCCACTAAAATGCTGATGGGCCACTGGCAGGCAGCACTGTCATGTTACAGAGGGTCAACATGAATAAGTGCAAAGATCCCAAGGACAAAACCTACTACTCCTGGCAGGATGAATCAAAAATGCTCCTTTCAGCTGAACAAACCCCCCCTAGACTACCGCCCAAAGTCCTCCACCACAGATACACTTCACTATCAGAAGAGTTAAAAGCCTTAGTCTGTTAACTTTAACCAGAGGCATACAGAGCTGCAGTAGTTCTGCTTGCGTTTTTCCTTCCTTCTTTCATTCTTCTTTTCTGTTCTTTGGAAAGCTGTATGTCCTGGCAGCTGCCCACTGTGTAAATACACACACACACACAGACACACACACACACACATACACGGTCTAGGAAAACTATAGTAGTAGCTGAGAGCTGCATATTTGGCAGGAGAGACCTATAATTGATATTAAGATATAAAAGCCAGCTAGACTGAAAGTAAACCAAATTGTGTAACCTTATATGGCATGATTTTCCCCTATTAATAGCCAGTGACCACAGTTAACATGGTCAATATTGACTTGGTTTCCAAGTTACTGCATGAGTACTTTGAAGGTCCCTCTTATGCCAGCACACACACAGTCAATTAAAATAAATGTTCTTAATTTTGTCAGACTAGCACTCTAATGCAGTTCACATGTACTTTTCCACACTGGGCCCATTTAAAAACATACAGCCATAAACATACTGTACATGTGTCAGACTAATGAACGGACCTCCACAATTTGGGGGCCAGCACTCGTTTTGGGGCCAAAATAACAAAGTGAGAAGAGGAAAAAAGGAGGAAAAGGGAGCGTAAAAGGATAAGGTGGCGAGAGAGGAAAGCTGACGTGGAGAGAATTGGAAGTGTAATCGAGGGGGGAATTTAAGGTGTGAGTCATGCTGGTTTTAAGCAAACTCATAAAACCACAGGAGATAAAAATGCACTCTTGTTTTCCCGTTTCTGTGTGATTGAGAGAAAAAGAGAATGGGCATGTTGGAGGAAACGATGATGGCATCTTGCGGTGCTGCTGAAACTTGCATTGTTCTACATGCATGTATGAGTAGAAAATGTTTCACTAACACTAACAATATGATATAAAATGTAAAAACACAAATCACATACATCTTGTTTTGTCCAGGTGAATTCAGTTTTGAGTGATAAAACAAGATTTTACCAAATCATGATATCCTGCACAACATTAAAACTTCTGGCATGTAGATGATGAGCGTTCTAACATTTAGCCCTTGTCATTAATTCGTGTAAAATCTGCGTTACAAATAAGCTTCATCAGTTATTTCTACTGTAGAGTTTCAGTTTGCACTCTGCTAGATGTACTTCTACAGCAACTCATAGTTTTTTTATTACCATGAGTAATCCTACTGTTATTACAAACTATCCATCAGAAGCGATACTGAAACATCACTTCCGAAAAACTACAGGTCTGTTCATGTCTGAATGATTATGAAACGTAGAGTCATGGTGACCGGGAAGAGCTCTATTCATACTCTACCCCTACCAGCTCCTGCTGTATGCCATAAGAAAGAAAGGAAATGAGCCTTGAAATAGTAGTACTCATTCAATTCTCTCTTTGAGAATTGCTTTACCCACTTAAGTTTTGCTGGTTGTCGGAAGGGTCTTAATTTTAAGAGGATACTGTGTATCTGTCCCAGCGGTCCAAATTCCGTTACACAAAGCAGAGCAAAAAGTTTTATCAAGCATTACAGTGCTTGAACATATCTTTAATAGCTTGCTCGTGTGCCTGTTTTTATGCATGTGTGCAAGAACAAACTTGTGATCAAGTGCTGGTGATTAGCACCTACTATGGAGTCAATCTCTTTCTTTATTCGCTTAGTGATAGCATCTTGATTTCCTCCCTTCTTGGCACCCAATGACGACTGACAACGTGCCAAATGTTATTAGAAATTACAAATGGTTAACTCTCTTTCCCAGTTACTAGTATAGTAGACATTATATGACTTAATTATAGGTTTGAACCGTTCTTGTAATAAGGGAAATATCACAGCAATGATGTACACTGAGGATTACTCGGCCAGTTTTGAAACTGCGTCCAGTGTTGTCTAGCTCTGGCTTATCTGATCACAACATGCCCGGGATATTGTCTCTTGAAAGATAAGACCTGTAACAAGACAGTGATGTATCATTTAACAAGAAGGCAAGGCGTGACCAAGAATTCTCATTTAATCTACCTCTGTCATTATCACATCACTCTTACCATTGCAATCATGCTGTCATCAGCCCAAACAGGATGTAAGGTGCAGTCTGTCTAGAATTTGGAGAGTTTTTCTTTGGCTCTGTACTCCCCCACATTGGATTTGAAAATTTGAAAACAATCACTATGAGATTAAAGTGCGGACTTTCAGTTTAATTTCAGGGTGTTGAACCACCATCCTTTACACACACTACGGGAGAAACAATTAGCTAGGAAACCTATATTATTTGTCCACTATGGATGTGTATAAAACCAAACACCATTGAATGTGATTAAAGTTTAGTTCCAGAGTGCTGCAATAGAGCAAAACAATGAAAATCTCAGCACTTTATAGTGCAGGGCGGCACTGTATATGGGTGCATTCACTGCATATGTTATGCACTGCATAATACTTCACATCAGTAACTGTTGTCAGAGTCAAAAATCCGCTTCATGTTTGGGATATTAATAATATGTGTATATTATAATATTATTATAATATCCCGCTTTTACCAGAGTTTGTAGCATGGACAATCTGCATTTACAGTGACGACTGTATCTAAGGAATAAGGGTTAGAGTCCCTAAGTGTAAAAAAGAAAGGGGGGATAGATTGGGAGATGGGGAATCAAAGGTGTAAATAAGCAAAAGTGAGAGACCTGCCTGTTTTTATTTTCTATTGAACTTTTAAAACTTTTTATATTTCCCTGTAGCTTTTATGTTTTATGTAAAGCACTTTGAATTACCTTATTGTTGAAATGTGCTATACAAATAAACTTGCCTTGCCTTAAAATTACAATTATACATTGTTATCCATATAATTGAGATCCTTTTGAGATTGAGATTGAGATTTCCCTGTTGCCTCAAAGTCTGTTAATTTTTTTTTTAATGAATGTGGTATTTTAAACTGGATCACATCAGTGCAGACAAAAAGCACCTCCCTGCCAAGACATTGACATGGTCAATTCTGCCACCTCAATGAACATAAAATGCATGTAAATGTGACTTCAGATGTCTTCTGCTTACCCGTACCTGTATTCACTGTCCACATAAATTTCATCTGCTTGCATGTGCATCTTCAATTGTTCATTCTGGTGTGATGTTTAACTAGCTGCCAAAGAAAAAAGCCAATGTATGTTGCTGAACCTTTAAAGTTGTAATATTTGCTGTAGCTCATTGTCTGTATTAATCAAGGTAATCTAACAAGATGAATGGACCAGACAGACAGTGACACCTGCTGTTAGGAAAGTGTAAGGAAAGACTTCTGGAAAATCTAATTTACTTTCATAATTTACATTCCTTTAACTACCACTGAGAAGAAATAGAAAACAACAACATGCAGATGTACTGAAAGGCTATATATCTAAAAATATTTTTAAATTTTTAATTCGATACATGTAATGTAATAAAAGTGTCACTCGTTCTTTTTCCACAATTCATATTCTTCGAGCTTCTTTTACTCAATGCATTACTTCCAAAGCCTACAATGCGGGACAAAGCATGCCTGGTACAGATGGACAAAGAGTAGAGCAACAATACCAGCAGATATTAACTCCTAACACTTGGAACATACATGTTATGGATCTTCAGCTGAGGTAAAGCATATATAGAAAGGATAATTTAACATTCTTGGACGCTCAAAAAGTAGGGTGTTGATGGTTTGATCCTCAGCCCCTCCTGTCTAAATTTCAGATTTTTCTTGACACTGACACTGAACCCCAAACGGCTCACGCAAAGAGACTTGTGTACACACTCTCAAACCATACTCCATTAAGTACCTCAGTTGTGTTTTGAGTTCAGTGAAGCGTGGCCTCTTGCTGGGATCATACGACCAACACTTTGTCATCAAGCTGTAGAGTGTAGGAGGGCACTGAGGGGGCATAGCCAGCCGCTCGCCGTTCTCTATCCTGCCGATGACATCATTGTTCTTCACACCCTGGAAAGGCTTGATGCCGAACATTAGTATCTCCCACATACAGACGCCTATGGAAAGACAACAAAACAAGAAAACTCACTCACAATGAGACAGCCACCTTCTGGCTCTTCAATGTTGCAAAGGCAGAGACTGAAGAGTAAAACAGTAAAAGCTAAAACCCTGCTGCTACAGCACAAAACATCAGGACAAAACTGACACAGAAATGAAGAAAGGTAGAAAACAACGCAGACTTAAACTTACCAAACATCCAGACGTCACTAGCTGTGGTAAATCGTCTGAAGTTGATGGATTCTGGAGCCATCCATTTAATAGGCAGTTTACCCTTAGATGCTGAAAAACAGGGAGCAGGAGATGTGTTGCACTACGAATAATAATGGTGTTTTCCTCCACGTGTTATGACAGACCAAAGAAGGTTTAAAGGAGACGGTGAATTGTGCATTTATGCGAACGCTTTGCGAGGTGTTATTTACCTTTGTAATAAGAGCTATCTTCCATGTATCGTGACAAACCAAAGTCCCCCAGCTTTACACAGTCGACTGTGGACACCAACACGTTCCGCGCTGCAATGTCCCTGAGGTAGACCAAACCAAAATTAGAGGAAGTCCTAGATACTTTGGCATTCATTCTGTAAATCTACTTTAACTGGACCCTTTTAACAAAAGGTAATCATTTACATATCTCATGTAGCTTTTGGAAAAAACAACATGATAAGATGCTTAGCATCCCTAACTCAGCCCTTCAGATCAGCCAGCATGTTTAGGAAATGTTTTGAGCATCCACATGCAGGGAAGTTAGTGAGAATATTTTTTACCATGTCACAAAATGTCTCCTCCCCCCCACATATATTTTTTTTTATTGTAACGCCTCCAGTAGGTGGCAACCCTAGACTGCAGTTTACAGAAAATGTTATTTGCCATAAAATAATATTCTTTCCCATCCGACTGATCAACATATACAATCATTTTAAAACAATAATATTATTTTGCTCAGTCCACTTAGCACTACTAATTATTATGCAGTGGAAGATGAAAAATAATAATACTGCATACCTGTGTACAAACCGCTTGCTCTCCAGATATGCCAGTGCTGTGCTGAGCTGGTATGAGTACAAGATGAGACTGGCCAAGTCCAGACTGTACTTCCTCACCTGGAGAAATGACCGTAACTGTGGAGAACAGAGAGAGAAAAAAAAACACAGATAAAGGGATATGAGAGAGAGTGAGAAAGCAACAAGTTTGAGAAATGGTGAGAGAAATCAGAAAAGGCAGAGGAGGTAGAAAGAGATATGAGTGAGACAAGGAGAAAGAGTGAGAGAGAGGAACAGAGTGTGAAAATAACTATAGTTACTTAAAATGGTTTTCAAAACAAGCTGTGCCATTACAACAGAAAGACAGAAATTATGTGAGGAGAAATGAACAAGGAAATATTCATTCTATGTGCGACGTAAAGCATGCATGTAGGTATATTTAACTTAGGGAGTAGATGGCTAGTTATCTACTATTCTGCTGCCTTACATACATGTACTGTATGTGCTGCATTTTCAGTTCAGATAACCAAGTGCTTTGAAAAAACAATATCACCAACCAAAGCAAACACAATACTTGTACAATAATAAATTATTTCAAACCAAAGTCAATGCAATTTATTACTAAGTAAGGGTTTAAAGTATCATAGATTCAGATTTATCTCCTGGATTTTTGTCCCCATGGATCCAAACGTTGTGTTTCAAGCTACAAAAAGATAAGGTTTTACCAAGTTTACAGTCAACACAGATCTGAATGCTTCACTAATACATAATGAGCTACTGATTATGTGCCGTGCAAAAAGCAAACAGTTAGTGTTTTTATCTGATTTATAGCCACTCCTATTTCCACATACTGTAAAATAGTCCCCGTGATGACTTTGATAACCTTTTTAACACATGTACTTGTACTTACACTTATACAAATTCTTATTAGTGTCCTACCTCTCCGAGTGTGCAGAGCTCCATGATGATCCAGACCGGATTCTCAGTGATGACTCCCATCAACTTCACAATGTGTGGGTGATCAAACTGACGCATGGTCACTGCAGGGAAAGAAGAGGAATGCAAATGTCAGTTCACAAACAGCTTGCAAATTTTTCCTATACTTAAAGGGCAGGTCTGCAATGTCCTGAGAACAAATCATTGTTAGCAGGTAACATTTGAGAAACCCACGAGGAACTTACATGCTTCTTGGAGAAACTTTTCCCTAACGCTGTCTGACGTTGAGTTCTTACAAGTCTTCACTGCCACAGACAGGGCTGGGTTTTCCTGCGAGAAACAGAACCAGGCAAATAACCTAATCAGCATTACAGAAGCATCTACATTCAGCACGTTCACTGACTGGCAGCCAGCACAGTGAGTGAATGGTTTAATGCTACAAAATGTGCATGGACTGTCATTGCCTTATAGGTAAAGGACCATGTACAGTAGGATATATTAATCAAATTATTCAGATCAAAAGCTTTTATAAATCAACAGCTACAGATATTAAAAGCTCCCGTGTGCAAGATAGAGATTACATACCGAGCTGATGTAGACTCCTTGGTGGACGTCTCCAAACTGACCCTCACCTATGCAGCGTCCCAACTCAATGCAATCCCGCTGAATCTCATAGTCCCGTGCTAGATACACAATATACACACACATGAACACACAGGTACGGACACACAAAAGAGGACAAACGCACAGATTCAGATCAAGCACACACATCAGTGCCCACACATACACTTCTCCTCTTAGTCAGGCCTTTCATTTACCAAGCTTGTCAGAGTGCTTTACAGTGTGTAGGGGTTTGTTTAAATCTGCCTTTAATAGCAGAAAATGACTGGTTCAACGTCAAATAACTGTTAAAACAATTCTTTCGGAAAATTTATTTTAAAAAAGTAACACAGTAACTATTAAAGGAGATGGCGTTATAGACACATTTTAGACCCGACCACAGCGTGTAAAACAAACTCATGTGCAACGTTATGTGCTGCCATCTTTACTATAATATATAAGTATTCAAAGGAAATTATCCTGAATTTCTTAATTAATAAAGTACATCTACTTTCCTATTCTGACAAGCTTAGCTTTATAGCAATCAGCATTATCTCAATGTCAACAGCATGCAACAACAGCACCAGCAAACCACAGCCAGACATGCCATGTAACACAGACGAACAACAGCCAGCAACACTCAATGTATATATGAACATGAATTTCTTCATTAAATCAAATTTTATATGGATAAAGTCAGGCTGATTGTATAATAATGACACAACTTGAAGGAATTCAAAGATTACAGGCTGATATAAGGCCACTGTTTTGCACATTTTCTCATTTTCTTGTCTAAAAGGAATTTGTATCTGTAGCTATTAGTCAGTCAGTTTTCTTCTGTATTTATTGTCAAGTGAGGCTACTGAAAATGCACCATTTTTATATAGCTTTTTTTTAAGAAAATAGGAATCAAAAAGTCTGTGAAACGTTGGCTGTTGAGAGGCTGGTGGTTTGCTTTGCCTGACAGGCATGGCACTGTTGACCTGACTTTGTCCATGTAATCAGCATCTAAATACAGCATACATGGCGCACACAGGTTTTGAAAAAAACTCTGACTTCTCTTTCATACTGTTCACGGTTGTGAAATGGCCAGCATATGTGAGATATTTAGAGCCAACTTTTAGAAAATGCCTGTAGTGGAGATGTTACTAAATGTGGAAAAGGGCTGCAATGTACATTAACAAAAATTACAATTGCCCATAATTAATGCATGTGTGCTCTGCCTCTAAATGTCACCCATGTAACCTGATCTTAAAGAAGTAAATCATTATGGTTAAACAATGGAGTGGGACTACGCTGTTTATTAGTGGTTTGGGTTTAAAATGTTACAGTAACCCTTCGCTCACACTGCACTTCCTCCTCCAGGCCAAATTTGTAACTAGGAACAAGCTCTGAGTCAGCTTGTTTGGTTAAATAATATATAAAATATTTTTGAACTGCTGCCAAGTAGTCGTTACCCCGAGCAGTAAATGGGTTAAACAGTTTGCAATTATTCTGGAAGTTAAATGGTATTGATCTCATCAATCATGTAACTGAGCAGCTAAAATACACAACATGATGCATTGTCCAACACCTGGGACTCAGTTCTGAAGATACCGTCAATTTAGCCCAAAGCTGGCAGCACAACAAACATCAACACAGGGGGTTCAACTCAACAGGGTACAGGGTAGAGAAATGTATTCGGAAATTTTATTTTACAGTTGCAAGCAAACGTAAAATAAGGGTCACAACAACCACCAAACCAAAGTGCCATCACAATAAAACCAGACTTATGGTATGTTCCAATCGTTACCTTGATCTAGTCCATAGTATTCTGGGAAAATGGGTTAGTGATAGGAGACAGAAATAACTAGCTGTGAGTACAGATATCCATAATTGTTACTGCAGTCTTCACTATATTCACTATATATGTCAATGTTACTTTATTTGCCATGATTGTGGGTGTGACTGTGATGCAGCCAAGTTACAGACACTGTGTGTTAAAGACTAGGCTATGTATCACCAAGTCTATATAAGTCTAAATATCTTGTTTTGGGATATTTAGAGCCTTTTGCTGTGTTTTGTCTGACAAAGGTTATTTTTTTGTTGTGTACACACAAAGAGCAAAAGAAAGAAACAAGCACATACACCTTTGGTCACCACTAGCTGGCACAAACAATTCGTAAAAGGTGTGTTTTAAACAGCAAAAACAACTTGTACACTAAAATGGACCCCTATGATTTGCTTGGACACCCGCTGTTTAAAAAAAAACAAAAGAGACGCTGAAACTGCTCAGACACAAACAGCTACGTGTGACCTTGGCTGGCACATGTCAGTGTATTCATCTGACTAGATAACTTCTAACTAAATCTGTCATTTACATCTTAGAAAGTTGTGCAACACGTTTTACAGACTAGTAAATAGCATGGATACAGCAATGACATTTCATTTTGGTAATTTACTGGACAGTGTGGACATCTAGCGATCTCTGTATGCGGTTTGACTTGCTTGTTCTCTTTGTTTGTGCTTGTGTCCTTACAAACGTCCACTGGCCTATGGGGAAAGCTATAATTTATGAATGGTCAAAAAGCGAAGCTTTGTTGATTGACTGAATGGAACAACATGTGCTTATGACCCCCGGACAACATTTTGAGGCTGTTTAAATGGGTCATTTTGTCAGTAAAAAATATTTCACTTAACGTCCTGGCTCCATTGCCCATCATACGTTAAGGAGATATCACCCATGTCAACTGCCTCTAAATGTTGCATAGCATCTCTGCTTATTGTAGCAGCAGGCACTACTCAGCAGCACAGGAGGCCCCTCTACATGTTTACAGGTAATAACGCAGAGACATCCTACAGGTCAGATAACAATTACATGAATGTAGAGGTTTAAGATAAACACTCATCAAAATGGTGATCAGCAGCAAAAATGTTTACTGTAATATAAACATTGTGGCGAGATAATGTTTTAAAGCAGCCCCAGGAAGCGCCAATTCTCATTAAATCTTGTGACAACCCTCTAAAGCGACTATAAATTGCAGGCCTATTAATATTCAGGCAGGATGTGGTTCAAGTGTCTGAATTTATGGAACAGTTCTGGTTTTGAGCTTAAAATTGATGTCAGAAAGAAAATAGTTATAAAATCTTTTTTAAAATGTGAATCCGGTTTTGCATGTGACTTTATTAAGATTATCTATTATCTGGTAGACCAAAGACCATAGATAAGACTACGGCAGATCAGAACAAAGTCAAATATTATAATATAACAGGAGTCTCCTCACTCTGAATTGAACCTAACTTAACTCCAAGGACACAAAAATTATCTATAGTTAAGTCTCCTTAAGATCTTCAATCTTCTCTCCATCACACCTTCCCACCTGAGCACATACAAAACCTACAATGTTTGAGTGCATGTGTGTGTCTGCAGGCGTCTACTTACTTGAAGGCATGGTATAGGTGTCCTCCTCGTCTATAATCTCAGCATAGTCGTCCGTTTCTGCCGAGCCACAGCCAAGTAGGGAGGGGAAAAAGAGCCAAGAAACATTATTAAGTCTCAGTTGGTGACACAAAAGAAAGACAAATGAAAGTTACTTAGAAGTTAAGTTTCTTTGACATAACACAAATCAAAAGTTCACACAAAATTATTGGTATAATCTGGATTTGTTGTTTTTTTAAATGCAGCAATCATTACCCTTGTCACTGTTAAACACTTAGATACACAATGACCAATACAAGAATTACACAAATAAAATCACTGCGTGCAATTTAAGAAGTTCTGTGAACACACCCGCAGGCAAAAAAAGAAAAGGAGCAACAGAAACACACCATCATCAGACAGATGTACCTTTCCAAAAGACCATCACCATATCCGATTCCAAACACATGCACAACAATTTAAATTTTCATGTACTACAACAGCTCACACACGCACCAGAGGAATTTAAGACAGAAGAGTACAATAGAGAGACAGAAAAAGAGAGACAGAGAAGAGAGGAAAGGGGAGGGATGGAAAGGTTCGTTCTTTCCACAGAAACAAGTTAAAAAAATAACGGGTTGAGTCACAGATAAGACCGAAACAGTTACAGGCAGATACAAAGAGAGATACTGTACACACATACGGTATCGCTAAAACAGCAGGAATTCCACTGAGGTACTAATTTAGGACGGTTAATAGAAAGAATGTTGTTTACCATCGCCACTAGTTTGACCTGCAGAAGCCACATGCAGCATGAAACACACACGCAGAGTGGGAAAGAAGGATTAGTTTAACTATTATATGTTTAACAAATATTTAATGTCTTGATACTATATTCACGGGTCATTTTCATTTAATTCTGTGTGAGTTAGTCAGAGGTTAGTAGACAGTCAGGGCAGAGGCATAGTGACAGTGACTAAAGCTCTCCATAGAGACATCTGGCAAGACAAGGACTCTTCACTGCATACACAGATGACACTTTATAGGGGAAAGAGAGTACGCACAAATATCTATGAACCCTTTATCTAACTCTTAGCAGTCATTCATTGACAATTAGAGCACCAGACAGAGAGGCACATAAGGAGGGGAGAAACAGACCAACAAGGCAAAGAGAAAGTGAGACAGGGATTTATACCTGAGACACAAACAGCTCTGGCCCGTACTCCGTCCATCCGTTTTTCCATCCGCCTCTCATGATTTGAAACTCTGGGCCAGAGACGAGACGAGAAAATGATTTTTGGCTCACGTTAACCTAAATCAATGTATTCTGAAGGAGCTTCCAATTGCAGCTATAAAGAGATTCATTCCACATCTTGTCACGTGTGCTGCTTTACAATGCGGAACATTATAGAATTAGGAACACAGTGAGTGTCTACATCTTATAAAGAATATTATATTCTCTATATGGGCAATTCAAGAACTTTTCTATCATCAAAATCAAGATGTTGCTCTGGATTCAAGCTGTGGAATAAAAAAATTACTTACACAAAATTCTCTTTTAAATGAGTTAAACCACTAAATAATTTTTTTTATGTCAACAAACAAAGTTGTGCTGCAAAAAGGGAAGAAACTGGATTTTTTTAATGCATCACTAGAACCTTGGCTATGGTCTTCTTCTTCTGTGTCTCACAGGGAAATGACACCTTGCTTTTACTTGATAAAGCAACTAATGAGGCAAAACGAGCCTGTAGACTTACTTGGGGATGGAAGGCAGAGCTCTGTCCCCCTCTGCGGAGATGAAATGAACACATGAATTAGACACAGACCAGCCTGGCCTCATGTTAGAGCTACATCACTATTGCCTTGTCTTTGTAGCAATAGTTATTTTTAGAGAAGACTAGCTAAACACAGGCTGGTTATTCAAAGTGACAAGCTTAAAGCCTCATCAGCCATGATCAGACTTGACTACTGTTTGAAAGATGGCTGAAAGCAATTTCAACCCTGAGTGCTATTAATAGTGTAAGAACATTCATGACCAAATCATTCAGCTGTATTTAACTACACACAATGCTATAGTGAACACAAAATAAATATAAGAGTAGTTGTGCGTCCTACCTTTTTGGACTCTGACAATAAAGGAGTGAGTAGCCGAGGAGACGAGCCGACAGTAACCGTCAATCAAGTCAGCCATGTTTTCTGCCGTAGTCAGCAATGCTGTGGTGACTGTGAGGGGCTACACACACACACACACACACACACACACACACACACACACACACAACAACGATTAGTGTAACAGTGGGACAGAGAGTTGATTCACAGTAACACAATGAGGGCTTTATTAGGGATAACGTCTTCTACCAGTGCACCAATACCACATTCAATCCTCCACACACACACCCCCACACCGCTACACAGATACTCCAGCGCTGATGCACACATGCTTTTTCCACTAGTAAGGCCTGCTGCGGACACACACCCACTCTCGACAGACTACACTCATGCTGACACACCAGTGCAGATGGCAACACCCACGTTCATCCTCCCGTGTGCCGATTCCCTCTTTCTCTACATCATTATATTTTGAGTTATAGTAACATAAAGTCTGCAGGAAAAACAGGCAATGTTCAACAAGCAGAAGCTTTTTCATGTGTGGATGAAATCAGACAATTTTGATGTGACGAGCCAACACAAACCCAACATACACAACATTTTGGTTCACAGTCATTTTTAAATGTGTGTGTTTTGGATGAGAATTTAGGCATTGTGTTGCAGCTTGAAATGCCTCAACTCCATGTGAATCAATGTTTTAACTCTTATTTGACGGGAAATTCTAATTCAACATGAGGTATGACTCCAAACTTAACATCCAAACAATATCATAAATACTGTTTCCCAAAGAACCAACCTACAATGGAAAAGCCAAAGGAACAGTGTGAAAGTCATGTGCATGTGTGTGTGTGTGTTTTCACCTCCGGAGCTCCTGCCACATTGAGCTGCAGCATGCCTTTCCTGTCCTTCTCTTCCAAAGCGGAGTACTGTATAGACTGAACCTGGTTAAAGTTAGCTAAGTGCGTTGGCTGCAGAGACAAAGATAGAGAGAAATATTAAACATCACATATGACGCACAACATGTGTTGCAGCCCTTTATTCAGCTCAGTGGAAATTATCTTTCCTAAGAACTGTATGTCATTCACGCAAGAATGCACAAGGTTGAGATATATTTTTTCCATAGTAACAGTTTGTCATGTATTTCTATTTTTACATACAACAATGCACAGTAATCCTAGTCTTTCCACACTGAGCATGTCATCAAGAGTGAATTTGAGTGCGTTTATGAAGGCCAAACAGGACAAGTTATGATTCATTTTCATGCAATGATCAACTTATTAAATTAATGACATCTTTCCTCAGTAAGTTGAAATTTAATAACTCAATTTAATCCCCTGGTGATCACACGTGTTTTTTTTCACTCATATGATCTGTGTTTTAACTAGATCTGGCCACTGGTGTTTCATCTTGTGCAAGTGAGGAGAAAAGAGAAAATCTGGCAAACGAAGAGGCAAACCAGAGAGGGCAGTATGGCTGATTGCCACTCCGACCTTCCAATTAACAGCATGCAGTATACAGTAGTGATTAAAGCCTTCTGAAGTTCACGAAGAAATACTGAACTGGATCATGTGTTAGTTGGAATAGATACATGAATCAGACGATATCTGAAAGAAAGAAAATTTTGTCACACTTTTACTGAACCCTGAAAGTTGTGAGATGAGCTATGTGCAAACTCACCGTTAAACCCTTATCCGTGAGGTAGCTGATTCCTTCCTCTGGTCCGATAGCTAACTCTACTGCTATTACCCAACTAGACTAGAGAGGGAGAGAGACGGACAGTGGAAGACATACAGCATTAAAATAGATGTCACATTCATCATATCATCTGTTTTATTAATTGAACACTGGCAAAGATGCAATATTGATAGCATAAAACAAGTTCCATCTGTTTTCTCTACTTTCAACATTAAATACCCTCTATGACAGAGGTTGGTTTCATTCTGTAGATGTCAGTGACAGTGTTTTTCATCTTTATCAACTGAGTGTTGCCCTACCCCCAAAGCGCACTTGAAGCACTCTTTGTCGAAGCGGTAGATGGGAGAGAGTATTTCAAAGAACTTGTGGATGCTCTGCTCGTCATTGAGGTTAGCAAACTGCTTAAAGGTCTGCTGGATCTGCTTACGAAGAGTCTTCGCCTGATAGAGAGAGGCGGAGGAGGGAGGAAAAACATTTCCAGGGCTTAAGTCTTTCTGTGAGAAAGATGTTTTAGAGCCAAGAAAACACACGAGACAACTGACAAGGCACACTGCGAGTGACAACAGGAGGTTTAACTTAATTCCAGGCAATCGGATTATCAGACATTCAGCCAGGAATCTATTCAGTCATCAAGTTGGTCTCCCTGCAAGTCAGCCGGTCGTCAATCAAATAGCCATTAGCTCATTCAGCTGAATAAGCCTCAGCTCATCCAGCTGACTAGGATCCCCAAAGAAATTTCTGCCTCTGTCACTTCCATTATCTGGTAGTGATCTTAAACTGAAGACCCTTGCCAGTTAGTCAGGAAGATGAAAGTGGCTGACTTGTGTTTTTACATTAACAGCGGTTTAGCCTCACCTTGAGCGAGTCGAGCAGGCTTTTGGGGAAGAACCTTCTCAAGCCAACGTCTTTCCTAAGAATAACAACATTTATCTTTGAATCCTTGAAATATATTTGTTAAAATATATTACATTTATATTCGAGGCAATATGGTTTACAGTGTGGACCAACTAAAATCAATCTTACTCCAGTAGTTCGTAATTGGATTTCTTATCCAGGGCGTTTCCTGGCATCTCTCTGAAGAACCTCCTGCATAATTCAAAGAGAAGGAGATACAGTTTGTAGGCACAGTATTAAATGTTAATCACTAGATTTCTTTAGTTCAGATGAACTCTGAAATAAGCATAGACTAATGGTGAAGAACCTGTTTGAGCAAACAGCTTACTTTTGGTGATTTTTGTCATTGTTGATGCATAAGAAATAATGTGCGTTTGTTTCTCACCTAATTTCCAAACAGCCCAGTTTCAAAGCAACATCTTGATCCACCTGATCAGCTATATGTTGCATGTAGTCACTCTTGACCTGGAAAAACACAGGGTAACTTTTTATGACAACTCTGCTGTAAAAAGTAAAAGCAGCTAACAGTGAAAGTGTTACATGTAAAATGTATAGTCTTGTACAGTAAGAGCAGAGTCTTTATCTGTTAAAGGTATGTTTGCATTATTAAACAAAAACACAACAGGAAGGACGTCACAGAGCATATGGTGTATGAGAGAAGATGTTCAAGAAAATTACAGATATTTAGAACAAAATTTAAAAAGTGTATTTAGTATTTTTTCACAAGGAGGAACCCTTTCTGTCTCCTGTTTTCATGCAATGCTGTTGTGTTGCCTCACCTGGTGATAGAGGTAGTTGAGAGAGGGTTTGTCTTCAGAGAAATGGCTCAAGTAACCTTTAGGAAGGTACCGAATCCGCAACTCATACCTGAGAATGACAAGAGACGATTTGGCCGAATAACCATACGGTCAGTGCGCACACACATCCAGACCGACAATGAAATACCACATCCAAAGTCAATGCCCGTCTGAGGCACTGAGACAGAGACAGAAGGAGCATGCTTACTCATACTTACAGATGCCGGATACACAGACCTCAGTACATTTTTAAAGACCCCACTCAACCCAGTTTGAGGTGTACTAGATAATCAAAAGCACTTCAATCTCAATATTCACAAATAGATCTGTGTTTAACCTAAAAATATGGTTTTGGTCTGAAAAACCTGTATACAACAAGTTGGATACAACTTCTCAAAAATGTTATTACTATTACATTGTGAAACATGAAAATTCTCCACAAAATAAAGGTACACCTGGAGAATTTATTGAGAAGTTGAACCTCTTAAAGTTAAAATATTTGTGCATCTCACTGGTCAATGTCAAATACTTGACAAACCACAGAATCCTGCTGCTTTTGGACGAATGTTTGCTGATTCACAATTTTGGCAGAGCACATGGCATTTTCCCAATATGAAAACCCCACATCTATCTTAGAGATAATGAAAAAGATCTATAAATGTTTTTAGCTTAACAATGCAATGCTACACACAAGTTTTGCTGCATAGAGCTAGAAACTGAGAAATTTGTGCTTGTTCCTTGCAGATGTTTCTATATTCTTCTTGCTCTAAAGTACATGTTAGCTACAAGATAGCCCCCATGGCGTAGTATATTCTATGCCTTGCTCAGAGTCACCTTACCAGGGTGGCTTTAAACCAAGTGTTGAAGTTGAAAGATCCCCTTTCTAATCACTAAATTACTGTCCTGGTGGCACATTAAAATGTGACTTCATATTTGCTTACAGTATACTAACTGAGTGTGATAACCTTGTAATACCATAAAGCCTAATGAGATTCCTGCTGTTACACTTGCCAGTTAACTGTGAGGTACCCAGATGGGCTGTCATTGTTTCTAGTGACATATTATTTTATGACTGACATATTGCAGCAACTACAGTGAAGGGAAATGGGTCAGGAGAGTGGTGAGCGCCAAGCTGCTGTGATGCTACAGGACTGTAGTTAGATAACAAAGGAAATCAAGGCCAAAGACAAAATGAATAAAACATTGTCGTTCTATAATGAATGAAGAGAGCGTGAGAAGAGAGAAAATGACGTGTGTTTGAGAGATAAGAAAGAAAACACAGAGGGAGGAGAGAAAAAAGGATGCAGAGAAAGATCAAAGTGAAAAAGAGTGACTGCGAGCGCACGAGACGAAATGAGGGAAAACACACAAGGGAGCGGGAGAGGAGCGAGATGGAGTCAGTCCATCCCCTGGGCTACTTCTGCTGCTCTAACAATAGCTTGGCAGCAGCAGAAGCTCCTGTGGGCTTGCAGCTCTGCTGCCCTCCGAGGCAACAACTGGCAGAGCTGCGCGGCTGCATGTTAGCAGTGTGAACAATTCGTTCATGCTGAATTCATTTCAATTTTAATGACTTTGGGTGTAACCCATCAACTGCAGGACAATGGACTATATTGTGAGGAGCGCTGTTAACAATATCAACTGCAAATGGCAAAAGTGCCAGCAGAGCAGACTGAAAATGGACAGAGATGCTTTCAGATAAGACAGATAGATAAGATAAACGCTTTCATCAGACAAAGCAAATCATCCCTTACAGCATATTGGGTGACTGTGTCAAATAAGTGGAAAGAATAAGGCTGTATAAATTATAGTTTATTAATAGGGAAGAAATAAGAACCACTCATTCCCTGCAAGTCACATACTGAATGAAGTCACCTTGTCCAGTTGAATTTAGGTAAACACCAAACTGTAAATCCTTCATTTATTTTAGCTATTTTAGCCATTAATGCTAAACTGTATTCACAATAAGAAGATATGGATGAATGAGGAAACACATTTTATGAGAAAATCAAAACAGGGACAGTGGTAAAAGGGAGCAACTCAATATTAAATACTTGTAATATTTTTTACTGCTTGTACACAGTAGTTCACATAGGTATGTTTCAGGTCTTGGTCTGTGGTTTATTGACAGCATTAAATGGTTTCATTGGGACCATATGTTATGTAGATGTAACCTGTAAGGCAGGCTTCATTAAATACTAGCAGGTGTGTAGCATAAACAAGTGTTGCATCTGTACATTCAAATAGTGCATTTTTAAAGATGACATGTTTGTTGTAATGATCAGCCTCTTGTCTTCCCCTGAGGAGAATAAAGTAAAGTTACGTTGCTGGCCTGCTATTTGATTTCAGCACAACATTAATGAACCCAGAAATATCAACCTGCAGCTACCTAAACTACAGACAGAGGCGTCATCAGCTACAATTGACCCTTCGCTAAGCCCCGCCCCCCTTAGTTACTGTTGCTAAGTCCGACAAACTACCAGTGCTGCCACTGTCTATTACTGCACTCCCCGGCGAAATGTTGTCAAATTTGTTAGAAAGTGTCTTGCTCAGGGACACATTGATGTCTCAGTGGATTCGAACCTGGGTCTCTCACACCCAAGGCGTGTGTCTTATCCACTGTTTCATCACCACCCATATTCTGGATTTATTTTAGGTTTTGGAAAGAGAATAAATCGTACTTCTCCTATCAATACAGCCCAAAAAAGCTAGAGAGCAACTCTTTTTGCATTAGAGTGAATGGAGCACATCCATGAAAGTGTCGGACCTCAGTTAGAGAGAGTTCTATACTGCGCTGTTATTGGCCAGCTGTGTATTCGGGGCGTGGCTTAGTGAAGGGTGAATTTGTCAACAATTTTAACACCCAGACCTGCTCACTGACCTGGGGCCTCATTTCTAAATGTTGTATATGCCCCTTTCTACGCAAACTTTGGGATTTTAAAAAACAATATTAACGGGAAAGCCATGCGTACACATTAAATGGAGAAATCAAAAACTGTGATTCAGATGGCACAACGATGAAACAGTTTGAAATGGATGCCATTGCGTAAAGTAAATCAAAATATTACCTCTGAGTATTATATAAAACTTAACATGAGTTAATTTGCAAAAACAGATAAAAGCAAACAAACACTTGTTTGATTAATATTTCCCTAAGAGTGCAATACAAAAAAAAAAAAGATTTAAGATAATTTATTTCATATGAGATATATTATCGACTGATAGTCCCTGGACTGCACACAAAAAGAACCATGATTACAGATAATAAACACAAACGGAGATATCAGTTGCAACAAAAACCCGCCTCAAATTTGCTGTACATTTCAATCGAAAATCATATTTAATTTGATCTGTAATTAATACTGGCGTGCAATGAAATTTATTCTCAGAAATAAGGTGAACAGCAGGACAAATTACATTTAAACTGATGCCTTTTTTTGATGCCTCAGTTGAGCAATGTTACTTGTTAATAAAGTTAATTGAGCGGAGTGTTTGTGTAAATAAATGTTTAAACACAACTTCGTTCGTTTCAAACAAGGGACTACAAATTATGTTCCTAGGTCATTCAGTGCGTCTTGCATTTCTGCGTCCCCCTCCGTCACTACTCAGGAGGGATTAGCTTTCCTGCAAGTGGCTCATCAAAGGGGTCGAGCTCCGGTGTCCTCTTTCCTCCGGGGCATTTCACTGGCAACTATGGCCGTAAAAAGGGTGGGACAAGAACCTCGCTTAAGTGCACCAACATTCGAGTTGATTGTGATTTATAAATGGAAATTGCATGGGAGGTACATGAGTGCTGTGGTATAAATCAGAATAATTTTGTGCTTTGGCACTTTCGGTGTTTTGTACGTATGCAGCCTTTTGACATGAATCCTACACAGTTTTATAAATGAGGCCCCTGAGCTCACTGTCCATGCAAACATGAACAAAATCTCTAGTACCCATCATGTAAAAAGGCAAATAAGGGAATACACAAGGAGTGGGAGCAGAGTGAAAGTGTGAAACGCTGAATCTTGTTGTTATTCTACCTCCACTCCTCCTGGGGGTGCTGTTTCTCATATCTCTCCCTGACGTGGGACACGCCCAAATCAGGGTGTAACCAATGGAGTGCATCAGAGTGCAGATGGGTCAGACGGAGGCCCAGAGAGGACACACAGCGCAACTTGTGGATTTCTGCTATCTTCTGTATAACACCCTGTTGAAAAGTGGAAGGATGAACAAAAAAAAAGTGAGAATCAGGGAAATATTTGGGGATAATGCAATGCAAGAAATGTTTGTGTGTGTCTTACCCTGACATCTGTGGCATCTCCATGCCTGATATTACTAGCCCAGGTACATGGTTCACTGTTTGTCTCAAAGTAATGGAAGATCTTCAGAATCCGGTCCATGGAGCCCAGGGGGCGCTCAAGGCCTCCTGCAGAGCTGCTGGTACCAACACTGGTACCACCGGGGATGCCAGACCGGGATTTAACCCCACAACCACCCGATGAGGAGTGATTGTGGTTGGACTCCAAGTAGGACGACGACGCCATGGCCGACTCAGGTGCTCCTGCTGGGGCTAACTGGGCGTCATATTCTGTAAAAGAGAGCAGGACAAACAGAGAGGTCAAAATGTGATTCATAATGAAGAGATAATTAATGTGTTGTATCCTCAGTTGGAAATATGTTGTGAAATCAGAACTACATAGTAGAGGAGAATAAAAATCCATGGGATAAAAAAAAGGTGATTAGGATTTGAAACACTGCTGAAAAGATAAGCTGAGACATTAAAACGCCCACTCAAGCAACCTCTCAGTCACCACCAGTCTGCCATTCATACTGCACTTTATACATTTATCAGATGTAAATAACTGTAGAAAGAAAGCGGGGAAATACGCATGTTTTTGTTTAAACACACATGCACAATTGTACTACATGCCGATGATTGAGCTTGTGTCTGTGCATGTGTGATGGGGAGGGGTTACATGTTTCAGTAAGGCTACCAACCAGTCAGGCAGTAAAGAGACAATACAAAATAGCAAAACACTGACACAAGGTCTTTAGATGGACCTAATGGACTCACATAAATCAGATGAGTTGAAATAAATACATTCTCAGCCAGGGGGGAAAACTGCTAAATCAACCAGGCGGTCAGTCTCGTCCAGAACTAGTTTTTAACAGCAAGCCGCTCAAACACCAGTCAGTAAACTCAGCAAACTGGTCATTCTGTACTAACTGAGTAGAGTGGAAGTGGCCAACAGGTCCAAGCCATACCAGAGTGTCTGTGGATAACATTTTACTGTTCTCCACCAGTTGCATGGCTGCTAGGCTTGCAATCTGGTGGTTTCTAAACTCTGGCTTGACACACTTAGGTCTGATTTGGGAGCATTAGTAAATTGTTCTGGTCATACTGGTGTTCAATGTAGTGGGTAGTAACTTGAATAGTAGTGGATGTGTGTTGTACGTGCCGCTCTTGAGCTACAGAGTGATGCATCTTACTTGTACAAAATCTTTGTTGGGAGTTGCACATGCGCAGTTCCTAGGTAAGGACTACTAGCCAATCAGAAGTAGGGAAGGGCGGGTCGTAAGAAACAAGGAAGTGTGATCCAAATCAAAGCCGCTTCAGACTGTGACCGTGACCTAGCAGATGGTGTAAGTTACTCAAGTCCACAACATCATTGTTCCACATCTTACCATAAACCACTACAAAAATTATATATTTCAACTAAATTTTTCATAAAAATTGGCCAAACAATTTGAACGTTTGCTCAGTAGCTTTCACATCAGGTGTAACATTAGCATTATATTTATAACTTTAGCTGTGTGCCAACATTTACAACAACTCCGCACTTGAACAGTCTGTGAGTTAGTTTTCCATTGCAGACAGTACCCAGACATAGTACGAAGGTTGTCATCATAGAGACGCCACACACAACTGCCCCGACGTAATGTATAATGCGACACACACCAGCGACCCACACAGCTTTCTCTTTTCTAAGTTAAAACGTTTCAACATTCCTCAGAATGTAAAGACAGATAAGCGGTATGAAAACCTTCCAGCTGTGTTTTCCTCTGCCGTTGTTGCTGCAGCGGTCTGTGTGACGGCGGGAGCAGAGGGCTCTGTGAGCGGGCGGTTGGCCGGCCTCGCAAGCTCCTCCCACGGGTTGGCACAGGCTTCCCCCGCAGCCACTTGCGGAGCTCCTCAACTCCGAAAATATTCAAGCACATTTTTTTCCTGCCATCACTTCTCGTAAAACTGTCAATATTCAAAATCTACACAGCTGATTTCTCACCTTAAAACTTCTCAGAAGTGGATTTAGTGATGGAATTCCATACAAAAATATAAAACTTTCTGGTGCTGGCCTCTGTCTGGTACAGCAATGATGATGCAGTGAATAGTGAATATTCTCTCTGACCAATCAGCAGTCTGTCACGTTACATTTTAGTATCCCTCAGCTCGCTTAGAACCTTGATGGAGGTGAGGTGATACGAGGAAAAGTACCTGGAAGCAGGTACAGGTACAACATTTCTACAATGCAAAACCAAACAAAGGCGAGTCGAGCCAAAGGGCCTCCACTCAGACTAGCTTGGTTTGAGGGCATGCCAGACCCTGCTAGCCGCTTGGCAAGCTTTATGACGCGTTTTCATTGTGACGTCACAAGTAAAGGAAGTGAAGGGCTGGACTACAAACGAGCTGTTTCCAAGCAGTTCAGAACAGTGCCTTTGTGGGAGATGGGTACTCCCTTTGGCCTGGATTTTGGGCTTTTTCACATGCACTAAAAGGATATATAACTCAATAAAGTAGAGGGGAAAAGCCAAAAAGCATAATACCACCTCTTTAAGGTTGTTTCTGTACCTCCACCTTTCTACTGCAGCTTCGTCTTCACACCTCTTATCCTTGTGCGATACAAACACACTCTACTGCTTCCTGTGTGATACGTCCTGGATATCCCTGCAGGCTTTGTTGAGTCATCATCACTACAGTGACGGGTTTCAGCTGACTGTGGATTCTGGCAACCACGTGGGGACAAGAAAAACACAAGTGAAACAAATCAGACTGACTGAATAATTTCATGGCTAATTTCTAGTATTGGGCATGTAATCAAAAACTAAATACATTTCCAAAAGACCTGTCTAAAATTGTGATCTGCATCATCAACTACCATGTTAAAAAGGGACTCAAAGATCTTCTTACTTTTGCTAGATGACTTATTTAATCCACTAAATATGGAGACAATAAAATAAACAGACAAACTGTGCTTCAGTCACCATTAGTGTCAACGCTGGTTGTTTCACTATTGTTCTGAACAGCCTGTAGCAAGCAACAAAATCACTGCTGTTAATGTCACATCACCACATTGAAGCATTTTTCTGTCACAGTCAGATCACTTCATACTGATAAAAAAAAAAGAATCAAAGAGACTGACATGGAGACTGATACGGGATAAGTAGCTTCAGCACTTTTAACAGCATGACCTGCAGTTCCTCTTCAAAGACAGCAAGTGAAATACATGACTGCATGTGCACAGTGACTGCAACAGTGCAACCCTTTACGCAGTCTTTACTGTAGTTATTGTTATGGCATGAAAGCCTCTCACTTATTCATGTCACATTATTACACTTTTTCTTAGGATTATTAACATTTTTGTTACTTTTGTTTTATTTGTCTACAATCCATCTTAAATTGCAATTTTCCTTAATCTGCAATTGAGATACATGTATGTGTAACTCAATTGCCTAAATAGAAGATATTTACCTGCCAAAAAATGTTTTACTGGTCCAAGTATTTAATCTTAAATACCATTTAATGTACATGTATTTCAGAGACTAAGGGCAAGAAGTCCCTGAAACATGTAGAAAGTGAAAAAGCTGCCTGTAGGTTGTATTATGCTGTATTATGTTTTCATAGATTATTTATTACCTTTCTGTCTAAGAAACAAAAATGGACATTAGTTGGGAAGTAGCCAAAATAAAAACAGTGGAGACAAAATTAAATCTGACATTTTTGTTTTCAGCAGTTGAAGTAGTGTTTTGTTTGCATCTGTGTGTACTATTATTAAAAGTCAACTCATACTGCAGATGTGATAAAAAGAGGTGTAATAGAAGTGTATAATGGTCACAGGCATGACCACCTACTCAACAGACCCTCTAGTCTTTGATACAACAGATTAGTCAAGAGCAGATTACAAATGTCCCTCTTACAGTACTAATATCATCATCCAATTAAAATGATACCACGGTGGATATGATCCCTAAAGACTGTACAACTGCTGCTATAATACCACTATATCATCTCATAACAACAATACCAGTTGCTACAGAAAACTACCACCATGATAAACACATTAACAAGGTACAACATTTAATATTATTACTAATATTATTATTATTATTAAAAGAGTTACAATGCACCATGCTACACACTACACTAGTGTCTAAGCTTCTGGCCCTGTGTTTGTTTACCTGGATCGAGTTTTGTTCTTTTTGTAATGACTATGCAAATATACATATATTGCTTTTCAATTTAATATACAATTCTAATACAACAGGAACATTTCAGTTAACTGAAAGCAGATATCAGGTTTTGGGTTTGGTGGATATCAGAGTAATAACATCAGTCTATTTTTATAGTTTTTTTTGTAAATATTGTATATAAAAAATTGACCACATATTATCCACTAAAAATCATGTTGCCTCAAAAACAAAATGTCACAGCGTATTGTTTTGAAACGCAGTACACCAGCGTTTGCTGTGTCTGGGGATTCATGATAAATTTATATCAAAACACACTCTGTGGCAAACCATGTCCACAGTGTACACAAGCTGTGATACAGTTGCACAACATAACTTCAGTTCTTATAACAGCTACTCTCTTAGTTTCTATCCGGACTTCATGCATCGTCTCAGAGGGGCACGCTAAAAAATGTATTGGGGGCATTATTTTGACTGCAACTCATTTTTAAATAGAAGCGGTTGCACCAGAGGAGCTATAGAGTCACAAACCGCCATCAGCCATCTGCTGCTGCTCCCTCACCCAGTCACTAATCAGATTAGATATTAAGAAGTAAATGTTGTAACACCGCTACATTCACCAACACAAAACACAATAGTCACAAACACATGTAACCGTAACCTAAATGCTACATGCAGCTTGATGAAATCCTATTAGAGAAGTAGGGATACCTACATTTGCCAAGGCGCATGCATTCAGCTACGTTACGCTGTAAATACACATCACACATAACTAATGAATAGAGTATGTTCACTTGTTTTTTTTAGTAGTATTCATCATAAGATGTGTTAGCATAGCCCCTAAACACTGAAGCCACCACCCAGTTAAATACTACAGTAAAATATTTAAAATCTAAGGAGGTAATGATTTATACACACACACAATAAACACCTTTATAATCACAAAAGGCTGTCCATTGGTTCCCTGACTCTATAGCTTGCAAAATCAGATTTGGGGCACTAGAAAATACAGATCTCACAGCACATAAATTATTGCTTTAAAATAGATGTACTATACAGCACAGGACAAATGAAACGATTTCTCACTGCACCAATTTCTACTCAACATAACTGCACTAAATCCCCACGTGCATGCCCTCACACACTCACACAGAGAAAAGGACATGAATCAAATCAACTAGGCCATGCAGGCAACCAGGAGGGGAGCAGGCAGCTGCCAGGCCCACCACCCCCTCTCTCAGCGGGGGTCCAAGTGAATGACAGTCAGCCTTTTTAACCACAGTCGGCTAGAGTTGAGCTCTGTCCCATAGCAGCAGCAGAAGGACGTCTGACTGGTATCTGGGTTACTGGGGTTAGCACAATCCTGGGGGAGCCTAGGCCTCTTCTTCACCATCCTATTCTTTTCCTCTTTTCCTCAGTTGCTCATTCTTCTCATTTATCTCTGTCTTTTTGTTGTTCTTTCCAAAGCCCTCATCCTTTTACTTTCCATTTCACTGATCAAACGCCAAATCTCCTGTATCCTTCTTCCTCCATCCTTCCCCCCTTCATCTGCAACTCTTCTCTTCTTCCCCTCCCTTAATCTCTCCCTCGCTCATCTCACAGGCCTTTTAGTTTCTGCCTTCACGTCTCCATTTGATCCCCCTGTCCTATTGAACCACCTCTCTTCCTTCCTCCCTCTCATCTTTCTCTCATCCTCAAACAATTTCCTCTGCCCTCCCCCTTCCCCCACACCACTACACTTTCTTTTCCGTTTTCGGCCAAGGATGCGCATTATCTGTACCAAGGGAGAGAGACAAAAAAAAGAAGAAGCTTGGCCTAAACACTGGTTGTAAATCAATATACATAAATCTGTGACTGTTCATTACTGGTCTGAATGTCACTTCTATATTAATACAATTTGTTTCAATGCTGTGCCAACTACATAAAAGAACCAAAGGACCAGCAGTAAGAGTGTGTGAGCTGCTCCTCTGACATCAGAGCTACCAGGGTAACTTATAACCGCCATCTCCCCAAACGCTCTTATTCAACAACCTAATTACAGCTCTGTACAACTGTAACTTAAATGGCAAATCAACTGTTACCAGATCACAACTGTAGCTCAGTGGGTTTTTCAGACAAATGCTTGAACCAAAGCAAAAAAAGATAAAGAAACAATTGAGTTCAGTATGTCTCATCTTTACGCTGCTCTATAACAAAAAAGTGCTGTGAAAATGAAGCTATACATGGACTACATGGACTAAGGTTTTGGTGACCTGTCATTCAGCAACGCTGCATAGACCTGCTGAGAAAAAATAAAAAGAACAAAAGTTTGTTCTTGTGACTGACAGCTGGTCATGCAGCATTTCTCTGTGCCTTGGGCAGCTTTTTTTCCATCGTCCTGTGTTTACAAAGAGCTCATGCAGTTACAGGTAGTTATGACTTCTAAGTCAAGAATGCAACAGGAACTCATCTGTAACAAATAATGATAGACAACTGAAACAGATGACAGAATTAAGTGTCTTGTAACGCAATGTGATAATGTTACAATCCATCTCTCTCCCAAAGCCCAAGGTGTAATAACAAATCACTTTTACCACTACCTGATTTAGACCTCACAAAGAAGAAAACATAGCTCAGATAAATGATATCCAACCAGCCTGATGAAATACTGAACGTTTAGCAGAATAAGATGCTTCCAAGCAGAGTGAGAGATGAACAAGCATGAAGATGAACTGACTTCATTGTAAATAAGGATACAGTGGAGGAGAAAGGTCCATTGTCTAAAAGTATATTTCATATACAAAGATATAAATCTTATACTATGTAGTTGTGAATCATAATGATTTAGTCAAACTCAGCACAGACAGTAAACACGAACATATTGAATTTTGTGCTGTATTTATCAGAACACAAGTTTAAACTCAGTTTATAAATGGTGTGTTACTATTGATACACTTATTAGTACATACTTGGTAGGGGGTGCTGTGCGTAGATGCAGGCCCCCTTGCTCCAGCAGAGAGGGATGCAGCCGCTGTTCTCCATTTGTTTTGTAGGGGGGTCTGTTCAAGGTCTGGCCACAGGGCCCAGACAACGCAGGTCTGTCTCAAAAAGAGCATAGAGCCTAGGACTAGGATTGGCTCCTAACCGGCTTTTGCAAACAAAAACTCCTGGTAAATAAATCTGAATAAGCCAAGGAAAAGCAAATTGAGATATCCTAAAATGACCCCCCAAAACGTTAGAAATTGAGACCTGCTGTGCTGGTAACTGGGCTGTCACTGCTTCCAGGGGTGATAATATCCATTGTGCAACTTTTAGCCAGCTCACAAGAAAGATGCAGGAAGGATCTATCAAAGCCAGTGTCCCAGGGCTGTCCAGTAACGCAAAGAGCCCAGTAAAAGGAAACAGAGGATGTCAAATATCCTTTGTACTGTAAAATCTGATGACACAGCAAGTATCCCCACAGGAGGTAGAAAATATACCAGTCTATGACTGTCTATGGTTTAACAGCTACTACACTCTCATCTATCATCATAGTTCAGGTCCAGCTGATAAAGGTAAAAACATTGGGAGCATCTCTAAGTAAAACAGTGGCAAAGGTCTGACTCTGTGGCCCAGCATGCAGTATCTGTCCAAGTTCATTTGGAATTCAGACCTTCTTCTGCAACAACAAAAAATCTAATGCTCAAAGAACTATAATGAAGTGGAAGTATAATATCTGATATAATATCTGACAGTAATCCAAGCTACTGATCACAAGACTGCAGGTCACTTCCTTAAAGCTTGCTGAAACACCATGTTACTTCAGAACGTGAGGAAGGCTTGGGGTCCAGGTCTCAGTAATCAATCTGCCCAATACATGGCATGACGCAGCAAAAATACCTTTACCATTATTCAGTTTTATATGTAATGGTCCCTGTGAGGAAGCCCCTGTGGGTGGAGAGGATTCTGTAAGTTGCTTGAAGACACTTCAGCAGAGTGTAGGCTTCCAAAAACAGACATTCAAGCCTGGCTTCTGTGGTTGGGTGATGGTTTCTCTACCCACTAGGCCATCTTGCAGTCCAATAAATCCATATGAAATATCAAATTCAGGTCTTCGGTGCAGCACTGCTGATCTAATTAATCAATCCTTGATGTGAAATTCAAAGAAGGCGGCTTCCCTGCAGCCATAAATCTTAAGTCACAGGGTTTGGTAATGTACGTCAAACATCCAGGTTACAAAATAACACTGACATCGCTCGTTGGCAAAGTAAGACTCCATATAATCACACCATATAAGTATAATTTTCAAAGAAAGGCATTAGTTCTGTTCTTAAAATCCACAATTTTGTCCAAAGGAGATGGCAGGATGGATGGTAAAAGGAGGAAAAAAACTGGCATCAAAAAAGAAAGAGACAAAAATGTAGGGCAAGGAGAGACATAGAGAAATGGAGCATAGTGAGGGAGAGGTGGATGAGAGTGACCAATGCAGGAGGGAAAAGGGAGAGCAAGACAGGAAAATAAGGATCAAGACAGAAGAAGACAGACGAGACAGGAAGAGACTAAAACAAGATGCATGAGAACGGATTGATCTATAAAAAAGGAAAATGTGAATAAGAAAGAAGAAGAAATAAAGAGAGCAGGATGAAGAGAAAGCAGAGAAATCCCAGGGAGAAGCTCAGCCTCACATCCTCCAAAGCTTTTCCACAGCGCTCTGACTCTGCAGGAGTTAACCAGGTCAAAGCAGGTGTCTGATGTCAGAGAAAGACATAAAGTGACAGAGACCTGGAGGGAAAGAAAAAGTCCGCAACAACAAAAAAAAGCTGGAAAAGCAGGCAGGATGGCAGCGGGACTTTGAAGAGAAAATGATCACTGCCGCAGCCAAACACAAAAACACACTGTATATCCAGCACAGTCCTTGAGCAGTCGAAATGAGTGCACCAAAGAGACTGTAGAGTGAGAGAGTATGTGTGGAAGCCAGGGAGAGGAAGTACGTATACATGCGGCTAAGCAGGTAGGCGACGGCGTGCGTGCATGTGAGTGTGGGGAGAAAAGTGTGCATGAGTGTCAGCAATGCAAATGGAGTGTGTGTGTGCAAAATACTCAAAGTGAATATGTCCAAGTGTTTCTTCTCTGCTGTGCTTTTGGTATAGGCTGCTGTATGACCGCCACGCTGCGAAAAAAAGCTCACTAACAGGCAGAAGCAGGGAGGGAGGGTGTGTGTGTGTGTGTGTGTGTGTACGGCTGAGAAGGCGAAAGGCGACAGGAGGAGGAAGAAAAAAAAGAGAGCGAGAAATATTATAATTGAGACGCCATGCAGTCAAAAGTAGGTGAGCTGATTGCACAGCACTATATATGTTAACAGGAACTCTCAATCAACACTCACAAGTTTAATAAACACACAAACACACACACGGCTTTACCAGGATTAGAGTTTAACTGAAAACATACATTCCACCCTTTGAGCCCTTACAACACTTTATCTGCCGCCCTTGTCTGTCTCTACTGCCCTCTGTCGTCTCTCCTCCTCTCCAAACATATTTCACCTGCTCCTGCAGCATGCCAACTCTTCATTGGCAATAAAGCACTCTTGACATTCAATCCTTCGGATGTACCCAAAGGACAAGTTGATCGTGACCACTTTCTAGCTAAGCTTCCAACTGCAAAACACTGACGACATCACAAACTGATGGAGCGTTCAGGTGTATTTTCAATCTTTTTTAGAACAAGAATTCCTCCAAATTAAAGACAAAATATGTCTGTTGTAACTGCCCTTTAGTACAACACACAGAAGCGTTTTCTGACCTGACGTCCCCATTGACAGGACTACATCCTTTATTAATGCCGTCCAAAACCGTTACAAAATTGTAAACACAGTTGAAAAATTAGCCTATTTTTTACAACGCAGACTTTGTCACCCTATGAAACGCCACTTGACTTGCTCCTTTGTCATAACTACAACCAGTAGAGGGCTTTGTCCATTGAATGTAAAAATACAGCATGTATTTGCAAATATTTGCAGACACTTGCTGAATCAAATGATGCCGTCGTTTTTCTTGGGAGGACAGTCTCGACAAGAAACATGTTTAATTAAAGGTTCAGTGTGTAATATTTCTGAGGATCTATTGACAAGAAATGCAATATAAGATCCATAACTATGTTTCAGATATTCAGATTCAGATATATGAACCATTATGTTTTTATTACCTTAGAATGACCGTCCGAATCACCTCCTTGGAGCCATGGAGGTCACTATATTTTGTCGTCATGTTTCTACTGTAGCCGACAACGAACAAACAGCGATACAGAGCGCGTTTCATTGTCATAGCGTTCTTCTTCTGCTTGTATAATTCCAGCAGTGTAGATGCCCCTCACTACATTAAATACATACATAGAAGAAGAGGGAATAATAATAATAATAATAATAATAATAATAATATGCAGTCTCTGAGTAGTCTTCTGATTTATTAGAAGTAAGAAGAGAAGTGACATTTGGACAAATTAACGAAATTAACAAATTAACACGTTATTTAGCACCAGAGCCGACAGCCTGTGGATCTTTATACCATGAAGCCAGAGGAGTCCGGAAAGATACAAACAGCTGACGGCAGAAATTACGGATGTTGTGGATTTTCCCAGATGGAAGGCTATAATGTGGGACAGATGTTTTCAAAGCAGTGCTGAAGTTGTCTGTTTTCTGCTGGACAGGTAATTAACTTAAGTTGTCAGACTTCAGCGATGCAAATGAAGGCTATTGTTTGAAAGCTTCAGCTTGAAGCTGGCCATAATCACCGAGAGACGTGAGATGTTCCCCCTGTCAGTAGTGTGAAATATGTAGTTGCATTAATTTCATGTCGCCTACTTATTCTCCAGCCTGTGGGTTGGCTTTGCCGGTTACAGCGAGACAATCAGCTGATCAGTAACGTTAATTGGGAATAAACAAACAGATGATGAATATTATTGGTAATGAAACGGTAACAGCAGGGAAGCTCAGATCAGCAGCTAAACTTCACATTTTACTGCCCTGGTGGAAATCATGCATTTCCTTTTACTGCTAATGGTCATTTATAACAAGACCGGGTGCCTATCATATACTTTCTGAATTTGCATTAATTTGTTTTTTGGATATTGCTTCCTCACTGTGCGATGGATTGGCGACCTGTCCAGGGTGTACCCCGCCTTTTGCCCCATGTTAGCTGGGACTGGCTCCAGCCCCGCACGACCCTGTATGCAGGATAAGCGGTTGACAATGGATGGATGGATGGATGATGGACTGTGGTGCAGAAACAGTGAGGCTTTTTGTCGTGTTATCTGTCAGTGGTCATTGTTTTAAGTGTACTATATAAATAAAATTGATATTGATAAACCTCTCTCTCTCTCTCCCTGTTTCTGTCTGTTCTGCTGACTTTATATGTCAGCAGTTTTATACTGACAGCTCGCGTTATGAAAATCGGATAATTGACACTGTTTAGCCCAGTCACCGGTCATGGCTGATTAAGTTATTATATATAGCTATATAGTTAGCCCATTAATCGATTAATTGTATAAGAAGTACTTTTGCTTGGCGGCGTGGACCCCCCCAAAGTTACTGTTACTGTCCACTACATGGACTTGATGCTAGACCGGGTGCTTTCTGAACAGAGACTGAAGCCTTTCCGTCGTCCTGTTGCGGTAGGCTACATTAGTTTTGTTTTACGTTGACAGACTGTAACATTACAGAGTTGTTGTTTTATTTTATCTTGAAATAATCCCATACTTTGGACACTTTCCTCTTTGTCAAGAAATGTAAATTATGTTTCCAACAAGTTCTCAGCTCCAAATATATAACATCCAGCTTGAAATATTAGGATCAACAGTTACCTAGCAATAGCCATAGAGGGAGACTGGACCTAATGGCCATAAAGTCTCTTATCTATACCTATGAAATGATTCAGCCCTACCTCCATCCACTCCATGACACACAAAACACAGGCAGACCAAAGAACATGCCTTGTGGAAAATAAAGCAGAAGGGTGGATCTCTCTTTATTATCACGAAAAAACAAACTGAAAGTCTACTGTCATTAAGTGACATTATGTCTTTTCATATGAAAAATGGCATCAAATTCTGAAAAAAACAAAGCCATATGCAATAAGGGTGCAAAGGAAATCTTTAAAATTTAAGTTTGATACGATATCTCAAACACACTGCACACACAAACTCACACATATCCTTTGTGCACTAGTCATCTAGTGATTTTTTTTTAACATATTTTTTAAAATAGAAAGCTATATAAATTGAATTTCTACTAGTAGTTGATAGGTAGTTTATCAATACCTGACTCCATTACTCACCAGCGTAGTATGATATTCTGGAAATATCTGGGGAAAAAGAGAAAAGAGATTTTACTTTGATAAATATATTATTCAACATACTTCATCAGAGTATCTTCATGTAATGGATAAAGCCACTGTACTGCAGCATGATTAGCGAATGATACTTCAGTAGCATGTAAGCACAGATTTGTCTTACATGCATGCACAGATAAACTGTATCTATTTGAATGTATGGCAATGAGTTATGGTTTTTCAAATACTGTATTCTACATAAAGCTTTTGCTTTATTATCAATAAAGAAAAAAGTAGAAAACTAGTGGTGGAGAGGGTTAGAAAAGATGATAAACAGGAGGGAACCAAATCACAGGATCATTAGGAAATGTAGCCATTGATGGGGAAGAGCACTGCCATTAGTTATAAATTACTTAAAACCATTTATCAGTATGAGCAGTTCATTTTTTGTTTACTGAAAGACA